TTGTAAAGAAACCAGAAACTTGAAATCACTGCATTGTGTGATTGATGCCAGAAAACGGTGCTGCTCAAAAGGCCATATGTTTTCGTTGGAGGTGGTTCCCGTGGGGTAGTTTGAGAATCAGCATGGGAGTGGTGTGAGGAGAGGTGGGTGGGCAGGAGTGTCCCTGAGACCTCAGGAGAACTTGGTCCTTGCGCAGTTTGACTCCCCTTGGTGAAGACTGGACTTTGCCTGTAATTTGTTTCATTCTAAACTTCCTTTGCAGATAAAGCTTTGCATCAGAGTCACTTAAAAAAACCAGTGCAGCCCTAGCTGGTTTGGCTTAGTGCTTAGAGCACAACCTGGTCGGGGTGCCTGGGGCAACCAATCAATGTGTTTCACTCTCTCCCTCTGACGGGACTTGACCTTTACCCCTGGAACTGTAAGCAGCATTTTTGTTGTCTGTGTGCCTTTTTCTGGGAGGAGGGTCCATAGTGTTACCAGTGTCAGAGTAACTTCCAGAAGAACTTTCAGACCTGGGAAGGTCTGCTCCTGAGTACTGGGCAGTTCTGCAATGTTGAAACAGCTCTTTTTTGAGAAATTCAGCAAAGTGCAAAGAGTACAATTAACGTTTTAAGCAAGTTAGAAAGAGTTGACCCCTTCTACCTACTCACTTTCATGAACTTGGCATATAAAACGTTAAAACATGCATGGTTTACTTACTGTGTTTAAAAAACAATAGTTTTGAAGTCGTCGTGTTGATATTTCTAGATCTAATTCCTCCCTAGCCTGTGGTGGTTCATTGCATAGTATGAATATTCTGCATTTTATTTTTACATTTTCATACGTGAACATTTTGATTTTTTTTCTTTTTTTTGATCTTAGGGGGCAGAGCTCTCAGCAATTTTATACATCCCGCCCCCTGCACAAGTTTGATACTTGGTCTAGGTTATATACCCACAGGTTCAATTGCGTGATTCATATCGATATTTTGAGGTTTACTAGACAGTGTCGGGGTGCTTTGCAAAGCTCCTACTGACTCCTTTTCAACAGTGGTGCATGGGTACCATTTTCCCTGCTTTCTCACCATCATTTAGTATTATCAGACTTTTTCTGCAGAGCAGATGAGTGTGAAATAATCTCTTGTGATACGTACTTCCCATATTACCGGTGAGGTTTAACTACCTTCTCATAAATTCATTGGCCATTTCCCTTCTGTAGCTGCGTGCCCATTTCCTTTGCCCAGTTTGCCTGGTTTTCTTTGGTATATAATTCTTCATATGTTGTATGTATAATCTTTTTGTTGTGTATACATTGAAATTTCTTTTCTCTGTTCCTTGTCTTTTAACCTTGCTTGTAATGTTGTGCTTTAGTCTTCAGAATCCTAGGCCTTGAGCCAGAGGTGCAGGAGGTCTTGAAGGTCTTTGACATAGAAGCGATTAGAAGGACTTGTTCTGCCGCAGCGCCGGGCGGCTGAGTAATAACCTGTGGAACTGCAGAATGTGTGAGTGGCTCGGTGGGGTAGCGTTGCCAGCTAGAGGCTACGTCCTGTGGACTCCATAACCCAGACTGGGGGTGGGGATGCTGACACCGTACACACGCACCTGGGCTTGGGCGCCGTCTCTGCCGTAAAATGAGGATAGTTTGTGGTGTTTGTTGTAAGGATTCGAAGAGAATTTTTGCATGTGTCTGATGCATGAGTGCTCCAGAGGCATTAGCCACTCTGTCATTGATGGCGCTTAGCCTGGAATAAGTTTTATGGGATCCCAGTGTAACTGGCTTTGTGTTTTTACCAGATTTTGCTTTCACAAGCAACAAAAACTTGCTCTGCCAAGCAGCTCAGCCATTTTGTCAAGTTCAGGGAAACAAACTCTCCAAGTGCTGAGATGGCAGCTCCTGGGCGGGAGCCACAGGCTTGCCGAGAAGTGACTGCTGCCCTGCTGCCCTCTTGCGGCCGCGCGGGGAGTGGTGGTCAGAAAGGGAACAATAGCCATTAATGCAGCTTGCTCTCCCAGCCTGTTGGTAAAACATTAATCATCCCGTTTTCCCAGCTTTAGACAAGACTTTTGAAGAGATACTGAATTCGTTTTGTTCACAAGTGTTAGACTTGTTTTCATAAGCGTTCATTTTTCTATTAGAATCTGAAGTCCCAGGTTTGACTTAAGGCCCTTTCGTTTATTTCTGCATTGTATTTCTCCCATGCACACTGTTCGGTCAAGATCATGAACTTTGTTTCTGATTTAGATTTTAAGTAACTTTTAGATAATGTCCTTTCCTTTATATTTTTAAAATATTGTTTTGCAATTACAGTTTACATTTCATATTATTTTGTATTACTTTCATGTTCAGACACTTATTTTTCATGAGGATTCTGTATATATGGTGGGTGATTCCTGAAAATCCCATTTTTGATTGCCTTATAACTATTCACGCCATTGGAAATCAGGTAATTTTACTACTTTATTGTTTAGGTGAAAGCCTAAAGGATTGCTCACCAAGCAACTTGATTTGACCCTTTTTTGTGAGAGTCTGGTGGACTTTGCCCATCTCCTACTCTAAATCAGTAATGCAAACTACAGTTTAGCATTACTAGTATTTGGTGTTATAATTAGGTATTAATAGCAAATCTGCATAATATTTCAAGAAATGTCCTGTCCTTTGAGGGACTAATTAGGCCATTAGTGCCTTAAATGTGAAGGTATTTATAGTTTAAAAAAAAAAAATGTCTTCTGTTTCAGGATGTGCTAAAAAGTGAGAGCCTTCGGAGCACTGGGGTTGAAGCTCAGATCGCAATCACACTACCTGTTTTCAGTTCCCAGGGGTAGTAACTGCTATGGCAGAGATGTTATGACAAAGTATTATGGAAGTCCCTAGTAGGCACCAAGCTTAGGATTGAAGAGCACAAAGGAGGTTTTCTTCCTACAGAAGGTAATACCCGAGGCTTCAAGAATCAGAGGTGCACTTAGTTTGACGCATAAGCAAAGGTTGGAGGTGAGCAGCACCAGGCTTACTCTGTGCCCTGCAAGTACTTGGGGTGAAGGGACGGAACAGTTAATTGATGAGTCTCCAGCCATCAGCTGCGTTTCACCGGACGTGCTGAGATTGGATATTGTCAGTGACCATGGCCAAGGTGGCTGGGAGGAGGTGTGGGCCCCACGAGCTTATTGATCTTTCAGGTCTCTCCAGTGACTCAGCTGTTTAGACAGTGTAAATGCAACTTCTAGGTATATGCCTTGCACCCCTTTCAAGCAGACATCCTTCCTAAATCTTACAAGGAAATTTCTGGAGCTGCCTCTGTACCTTTCTGTGAGTACATGGCAGAGGCCCAACTGTTGTTAATAAATTCTAGTGCCATGAATTGCATGGTGCTGACTCACCAGCAGGTGCCTCCTGGGGGGAACCTAGTGTTAGAAGGGGAACCTGAGCGTGGATGTGAAATTCTAATGTTTGGGTAGGGCTTTGGCATTTATAGAGTGCTGCTTTCATAGCTGTCGTTTGATGCTCTCGTGACCTATAATGTCCCAGAGGACAGCACAGGTTAATGATGGCACAAGCCTGAGATGAGCCTGGATGAGACCCAAGCCGTGGATGCCAGATTCTGCACTCTAACTGTACCATCCAGCCCTCCTCTTGCTTTCCTCTTGCTTTCCTCTTGCCTGGTGACCACCTTCTCATTGGTCACAGGTGGTGAGTGGGTGACTTCAGATGCCCCAGAACGAGCGACTAGTCAGTTTTCACTGTGTAGTGGACCAAGGAGTCAGTAAGTATAAGGTGGCCTTGACCATGCTGAGTCGCTGGTACAGGGAAGCCTGGCTGGTTTGCAACATAGCATGATAGGGATGAGATTTATTTTCTGAGTCTCCAAGGTTTCGTGCCCCTGTTGTAAAATAGAATGTGCTCTTTAGAGCTAGGCTTGGGGTGGAATCCCTGCCCTACTGGGGAGTAACCAAAATCATATATATAAAGCACTTAGAGTAACGTCTGGTACCTGTTAGATGATCATGCAATTAATGTGGTTTTTCACTTCTCTCTTTCCCAAGGTAGAGCTCCCCACACCCCCATTTGTTGTCATTGCTACTAATCTTAACAGGCCCCAGGGTGCCTGCCTTAGGTTGCCTCCCTGAGGGGTGTTTGGAATGAGGAAGCTGTGGGGAAGTGGGGTAGACAGGAGCAGTCTGCACTGGGTTAGGCCTTCACCTTAGATCAGAATGTTCTTTTTATTTCTTTTGTTCTGTTAGGTCCTCCGGGTCTGGGGCTCACTGCTGGAGGTTCCCAGGCAGGACCTCTGGGGTTAATGTGTATGTTTTATGGAGCTGCCCAGTCGAGTTTGATTAGCACTGTTGTTGAGGATACTGATTGGAAAATTACAGCCAGATTGCAGTCTTACTTTTGGGGTAACCATGCCTTGGTTTGATTGTGTCCTGTGTTGCATTGTTTTGTTTTTGTCTTGAGGAGGGAGGGATGATATTAAACAAATAAACTTAGTGGATTCCGACAGATTGATCTGTTTTCAAATCCTACCTCTGTCACCTGAGAGAGTTACTTAAGTACTTCGGAGCTTCAGCTTTTTTTTCATCTGAATAAAGGAGAAAATAATACTCCCCTTTTGAGTTTTTGTAAGAGAAGCTAATTTACATAAGTTAGTTGGTATGTGGCATCATATAAACACAGGAAATGGTAGCTAATAGGGATGTTAGAATGATAGTAATGATATTACTTGCAATATAAGAACATAAAAGTAAGTTTGGAAATTTTGGTCTTGTATTGCCAGAATTACTACATACTCATTTTACCACTGTGACTTTTTTTTTTTTTTAACTGATTTGTGTGGCAGTTGTTAGATCTTTTTAAATTTTTTTTTTTTTTAAGTCATTCAGCATCTGAAGAAGCTTCAGGTTCAGACTCAGGCAGCCAGTCGGAGAGCGAGCAGGGCAGCGACCCAGGAAGCGGACATGGCAGTGAGTCCAACAGCAGCTCTGAATCTTCAGAGAGCCCGTCGGAATCCGAAAGTGAATCGGCGGGTTCCAAATCCCAGCCAGTCCTTCCAGAAGCCAAAGAGAAGCCAGCCTCTAAGAAGGAACGGATAGCCGACGTGAAGAAGGTATCTCCTTTGCTGTACCCTACGAATTGGCTGCCAGCTGCGACCAGCTAGCAGACCTTTATTTCCCAAGGAACACTCATTAACGTTGATAAGGAAACCTCAGCCACCTTTTTTAATAATATAGTCTCTGGATGTGAATGGGGACTGCTTTCTGCTCTACTAGTTGATCATAGGTTATAAAGGAAATAATTACATAAACCGTAAAATTATAGGGCAAGAAGACAAATCTCTCTAATTTTGGTTTTTAACATTTTAAAAGGTGGTTAAAATTTTTTTATACACCATCCTGAAAAATACCAGAGAGTCATTGACAGATGACTGTGAAATGCAGTTGTAAAGTGTAGGACACAGTCCAAGAGGAATGAAAGAGAAATCAATACTTCTCAGAAGAAAAGTTCTCTGTACCCAGGCAGCGTAGGTAACAGTCTTTGCTTAACATGGAAGAGTCTTCCAGCAAAGGATGCAAAAAGTCAAGAATTGAGTTGCATAGCATTTGATCCTCGGTGCCCAAACTTTAGGATGCATTCCTGTTGGGGAAAATTTAATGACTTGGTTTCATTAATCATAAGAATGTAGCTTATCTTTTAAAATCCATTTTGAGAGAATTTGGTAATTTCCCAGGGACCATGTGTTTACATGAAGGGCGAGGGACAAAAGTGATTCACATGTACGAATATTGCTTTTAGAAACTTAAAAAGAAAATCTCTTAATGAAATTAAAAGCTTTATGCTGTCAGTTTTTACTCTACTGAGCTACAAATCTGCACCTTTGCACTCAGATTTTCATAGCAGTGCAAATGATTTTAAGTCACCTGCAAGTTCTACAGACTAGCTATAGCAAACCTAACGTGAAGGAAACAACAATTGCTGGGAATTCTTGAGACAGTATTGGGATTAACTATGTTATTTCAGTTCTTCCATTCCCAGCATAACCATTGCTTAATGGTAAGTGACCCTTAGGAAATGGTGGGAGGCTGGGAATGCCTGTGGCAGTGTTAGGGACAGGCAAGTGAGAGTTGTCCTTGCTAATTGACTCATCACCAGAGACGTGACCTTCAGACCCTCAAGTGCTGTGCCTGTTGCCTGCTCGTGTGTTGGGTGGGCATTTCACAAGAGACAGTTCAAGTGGTGAGTTATTTCATTCACAAAAAATGCATGTGAGAGGGCCCCTGGGAAATCTTGCTCTGAGTGTCATTAAGCTCAGAAACTTCCCACCCAGACTTGTGGCGGAAGGCCTGGCCTGGCCATCTTCAGAGCCCGACGCCTTAGCCTGGTTTCCTATGCACACCTAGACCAGCTGCTCTTTTCCAGGGACCGCGTGTTTGTGTGAAGCTTAAGGGACAAAAGTGAGCCTGGATGTAACTTCCGTCTGCACAGTGGCGAGTCCTTTATTTGTAGAGATGAAGCCACAGAAACGATGTGTTTAAAATGTGACTGAAATAGGGGTGATGGTCTAGCTTTCACATCTGTTAACTATAAGACCTCATATTTAGCTTCAGTAAAAAAGACAGAGGGGAACCAAGAAGGGAAATCACTACCAAGACTGACTGGATTTCAAGGTAGAGGTACAGCACCAGGCAGAAAGAGTAAAATATGCTTTTAAAGTTAAGGTGATCAGTTCTAAAAAGTTAATAAAGTTAACACATGGATGGACATCCCAGCCAGTTAGAAAGCTTGGATTGTGACGTTAATGATGAATTATTCTAAAAGGAGAGCTTCTGAAAAAGATTCTTTGTCTCCTGCGTACACGTCCTTTTCAGGGGGTAGCTTTCTCATTGGGCCTTGAATTAGAAATCATTAGTCCTCAGAAGGGCCAAGGTGATTCTTAGGACGGATGCATTACAGTATAGACTGTAATCAAGTCCCAACAGTGGAGCCTGAATATCTAATATTTTTAAGTGATAAAACTAGTTGATGTAGTGACTCTAACTAACTTGGCCTCCGCCCTCGTTAATAAAAGCTCCCTAAAATCCTGTGTGGAATAATTTCCCAGTTCTAGCAGAGGTTCAGAATGGGGTGGGGTAGGGTGGGCAGGTAGGACTAGAGAAAAGCTCTTGGTGTGCTCCCTCGCTGCCAGGCTTGCTCAGCGTTTGGCGTTTGCTGCCTCTTTGGCCCAGATTTCCTCCCACTTGGTTATTCTGATGCCTTCCGGTTGGACCTTTATCTTCCGACTCTCAGATTCTAAGGCCGTTCGGGTTTTTCGCCTTCGGAGACCGAAGACACTGGATTGCATGATTGTGTTGGCTTCTAGTTCTAAAATGCCTGTTCCTGGCCCAGCTCCCTTGTTTTCTTTGGAGGCCTTATTTTTTTCTGTAGCTGACTCAGCATTATTATTTTTTTTAAAGGCACTGTTGATAACGCCCTCCGTCAGCTTGATGACATTTTTTTCTGGGTCGTCTTTCATCAAGTTTGTCTTTTTCGAGGCCCACTTCACATATTTCCCGAGTCTCGGCCAGTGGCATTCTCCTCTTTCCTCACCTTCGAAATAATTTCATGGCTTTAGCTGTCATGTGTGTTTTGATGACAAACCCCCATTTCTCATCTTGGCTGTCAAGTGTCTCTTTTACATGTTTAACCCTGGTTAGACATTTCCACTGCCGTCTTCTACAGTTCGTTCGAATTCATTCTGCCTCTGTGATTGATTCTATTAAAAGAGCAGTTGTCTGTTGGCTAGAGAGCGAGATTGGGCGCTAGACTCTATTAGAGGCTGAGGAAGGAGGGGGCCTCGGATATTTTTCCTATACATTTGTTGGCTGCAGTCTTTTTATAAGATGGTGCTAAAATACATTGTGAAGAAAGTTTTCTCTTCAGCTAATCCCTCCTTTGAACTTTACATTTTTGGTCACTGGTGAGGATCATTATTGAAGATAGTTCTTTAAAGCAAAGGGCTACTTACTGCTCAGAGGATAACATTAGGTGTGTTAGGGTGGTGGCTGTGATGCTCATTCTGAGGATTTCCAACTAAATGTTGTAAATACCCAGTCTGTATGTATCTGGCTTGTTACACGTTCTGTGGAATTTAAAGAAATATATAAATGCTTTGATTTATTTTAATTTTTGTTGTTTTTTTTAAATGTCTTTATTGATTTTAGAGAGAGGGAGGGAGAGGGAAGGAGAGAGAAACATCATTGATGAGTCATTGATTGGCTGCCTCCTATGCGCCCCCTGCTGGGGATGGAGCCCGAAACTTGGGCATGTGCCCTGACCTGGAATCGAACCAAGATCTTCTGGATCATAGGTTGATGCTCACCCGCTGAGCCATGCCATCTGGGCCCTGAAGTTTTAAAAAATATGTTTTTATTGATTTCAGAGAGGAAGGGAGAGGCGGGAGGGAGAGAGGTAGAAACATCAATGATGAGAGAGTCATTGATTGGCAGCCTCCTGCACGCCCCCCACTGGGATCGAGCCTGCAGCCTGGGCTTGTGTCCTGATCGGGAATCGAACCTCCTCCTGGCTCATAGGTCGATGCTCAACCGCTGAGCCTTGTCGGTTGGTGCAATGCCCTGATTCTTATTTAATTAGACTTGGTGGGGCCTTGCTTGCCTTTTGAGTTTCTCAGATGGGTCAATATGCAGTCAAAGCCGAAATGGAAAACATTAGGGGCTTAAAATTCATCAGGAAATAATTTGTCTTTGGCGGAAGCAAATGTTCTCCTGCCATGTTATTCAACTGTAAGTTTATATTTTAATGATGGGCGCACAGTGTACCATTTAATTTACTAGCCATTGGCAACGCAGAGACATTGCTAACCGTCAGTGTGTGCTGGGATAATATGCCGTACTCTTTTTAAAGATGGCAGTTCATTGTCTCATAATCAAAATGAACAAATCAGCCCTTTTGATACTTAGTTACATAAATGCTCTTAAATGAAAATACATGTTCCAGCAATGAAAATAGTAAATGGGGGTCAAAGAAAAAAGACTCATGCCTGGTCTGTTAATTTTACAGATGTGGGAAGAGTATCCTGATGTTTATGGGGTTAGGCGGTCAAACCGAAGCAGACAAGAACCATCACGATTTAATATTAAGGAGGAGGTAAGAAAAAGAAATGCTTTAAGGGGATGTATTGAAACTCCTCGTCTTACCTCATCCTTTCCGACTCTGGTATGTATTACCATTGACAAGACAACGTCAGGATGGGAGTTCAGTGGCTCGAATGTGAGCTCTCTCAGCTGAGTACGGCAAGAAAGCCACATGTGGCTGTTCAAAAAGGAAACTTACCAGAAAGAGCATGTCATAGTGATGCTTCAGGACAGTGTTGGGCATTTTACAGAACCGGCCTCAGTTTTTCTTTTTGTTTTTGTTTTTGTTTTTGCTTCTCATAGTGAAATTGACTATAGCAAGATGTTTACTTTTTAAAAATATCTAGTTTCTAAATCTCATAGATTTTAGTTCAGTGAGTAACTTGCCTGATAAACAAATATAATAATGGAGGTAGCTTCAGGTTTATTTCTGAGAAAAAAGAGAATTGACTTGACATAAGGAATGTATTTTATCTAATTTCTTTACGTTTGGTTTCCGAGCTCACTTTTAGTGTGCATTATTAAAATATTTCACACATATTTACTCTGTGGTCTAATTGTGAGAGATTTGGTGATTTTTAAATCAGTTTACTGGATTCTGTGGTTTCTGTAGAATCAGCCTTTTCTCTGTTTGTGTGATATTTTTGTGGATTCTTACCTCTATGTTAGGTTTATAGATTACATTCCAAAGAGATGCTTTTTTTGTCTCAGTGAAATGTCCTCTCTCTTTGCTGTTCTTAACTATGTATCATCCTTCTGCTGAAAGCTAAGTGTTGATAGCCAAAGGTTAGTGAGTTGGGGTGGATTTTAGTAAATTTATTTAAAAAATCGAATTGACCGTAACATTCGCTTTGCCTTTATGGTTTTATTTTGAGTGAACCTCTTAGCTGGCTACCTTAGCTTTCTTTTCCCATAGCATCTAGGACTGGGCTACTGAGCCCTGTGTTATAACCACTCACATAGTTGTGGAAACCTTTCTCTTTTGTATATAAATTAACACGTTCTCTAGGGTATAAGACTAAGAGCAGTTGGGGTAGTTTGCCATGTTGCTTAATTTTGGAGAACAAGCTGTTCAGAGATGTCTCTGACTATAAACTTTTTTTGGCTGCTGGCTGTTAGCAGAGCTCTGTGACTTTGTGACTGAACATACTCTTTGATGAGTCTAAAATGAATAGATCTCTAGTCACCACCTCTAATGGCACACTGAACGTTGTGGCATTTACATGGGACATTCTAGATCTGCATTGCCCAGTATGGTCGCCATTAGACACATGACGTTTAAAATGTATATTAGCTAAAATTGAGTAAAATGAAGAGTTCCATTTCTCAAGAGCCACACTCAAGGGCCTCAGGAGCCACAGGTGGCTGCTGGCTGCGACATTTGGTAGGAACAGTGCAGCTTCAGAACATTGTCATCATCTCAGAAAATTTGTACTACGCTTTTCTAAGAGTCAAGCTGAGAGAAATAGTTCTTGGCATTAAAAATAATTCAGTAACGACACATAGAGATTACTTTTCACAGCAAAAGGAGAGTGAGTATCACCAAACAAACGCTGAGGTTTCTCTCTGTGTAGACGCTCATATTGAATGATATTGTTATATTGAGTAGATTGTTGAGCCAGGGCATAGTGTTGACCCTAAGAACTGTGAATTAAAGTCTGTAATCATTTTTCCCCCCTCACACACTGAAGGCAAGTAGCGGGTCTGAGAGTGGGAGCCCAAAAAGAAGAGGCCAGAGGCAGCTGAAAAAACAGTAAGTCTTCTCTGGGGGAAATGACTTAACCTGGTAGTTTGTAATGTGTCAGCGTTTCTGGGACTGCCTCCGTTGTGTCTCCAGTCTGCCCCAGGTCCCAGAGTCCGCTTCTGTATCTTACTATCTTGGGTCACTGTCCAGCTTGGCCTGCTGCAGCAGCAGCACTCAAAGCCCAAGATTCTCAGTGTTCGACACGCAAGTAAGTATTTCACACGTGCTTGCGCTCCTTCTCGGGGGCACACCCCACACCGTAGCCCATCCAGTTCGTCCAATTAGCCCAAGTATTTTTTTTCTTAAAAATGTGCACAAATACCAAATACGCAGGTATTTGGTGTTCTGTTCTAGTCGAGCAGGGGACACATTTAGGTTTGCCGTGCTTCATTTCCATTTGTTCTTTGTGTTGGCATGGCGAAATTATATTGGTTGGACACCCGTTTTAGAAAGAAATTTCACATTGGTGTTTCCATATAATTTCAACATTACAGTTCATAAGCCAGAACACTTTAATTCTTGGGCTTAATGTAATGTGAAATTCCTTTGTAACGTAGATCATGTACTTGTTATTTTAACATTTATTTTAGTAATTCTACTTAAGGTGAAAAGATATTTAATGTATTTGCTTTTAGATTATTTCTCAAAAAAAAATCTTTTGGAGAGGGTGTGGCTCCCTTTGATAGTCTGGATCCTATAGCCCGTCTCTTTAGAAAAATGTAGATATTCAAAACTGCACACAGATTTAGGGGGTTCTTATGGTACACAGTTGTCCATGGCACCCCTATTAAGAGCCCCAGTTATATATTCTCTGTTCTAAAATATTAGTAATCTCAAGTAAGTGTTTAGCCTAAGGCAAAATGATTTGAGTTTTTAAAATCCATTTCCTCCTTTCCAATATAGAGGAATGCTTATTCTGCCGAGGTGTCAGAATTATTAGAAAGTGTGCTAAGTCAGGTGTTTCATATGGGTCTGCTCAGATCACACACAGCTTTCATTTATGTTCTAGATTTCAAGTTGGAGAAATAGTAACTGTGTGCAAGCCTGCACTTCTTGGGGTCTCAGAAGGCTTTTGTTCTACCTCAGTCCCATGGTCTGCTTAGGAGATTCTCTTCTCAGTTCCCTGGTCTCAAGGCCTTCTGGGGCCTTTGGAGAAGCCCACGGCTATGCTTGTCCCTCCACCACCTGCTACATTTGTTGGTCTCTTGCCTGGGATCCAAATGGTGGTGCTTGAAAACCTCAACTGCCCATTTCAGCGGCCTTACCCCAGGGTGCAGAAGCCCGCATTTTTTTAGCCATTGTACAACTATAAGTCTTTCTCTTTTGTTGAGCAGCTCCTATACTTATTTTCCCTCTCCTGCCAATCCTCAGGGCTCTCAAAGTTGACAACTTTCAGAGGCCTTCAAGGACCTGTCTTTCCCCAGAGTAGAGCCTCGTAGTTCTGTAGGGGTGTGTGTCTGCAGTGCCTCAGGAACTCCCCAGGAGCTGTATGTCTGGGCACTGGGCTGGCCTCACTTTCTTCCATCCTCTGGGGAGCTCTTCTCCTGAAGGGGCTTAATTAGTAAGATTACTTGGAGGAGGTCCCACAGCTGCTAAGACTCTAGTTGTAAGGCACCATGATCGGAGCAAGTGGGACCAAACCTAGCGCGTGAACACGTGAATTTCAGAGTTGAGAGAGACTCACTCAGAGGGAGGGAAATTTGGAAATATCAGCACAGGGAAATGCTATTCTGAAGCCCTGCATATTGGACCTGGGATTTTAAAGATTTTTTTAAAGGAGCTATTTTTTTAAACTACTTTTTTTAGGAATTAATTTCAAACTTTAGAAAAGTTGTGACAGTAAAAGCACAGAGAATGCCTGTACTTGACCCAGCTTTCCTGTTGGTGACCATTTTTGCCTCACTTTTTTATTGTCTCGGGTGCTCTTTTTACATATACACATACACCATACTTTTTCTGAATCGTTTAAAACCTGCACCATGGCCTTTGACCTTTAAATACCTAAGTGTGTATTTCCTAAGAAGTAAGGATATTGTCTTTCACTCCTGTCCAGTTAATTCATAGGTCCATTTATGTCATTTGACCCACTAATGTCTTTTCTAACATTTTCACACCTACACTGCAAGATCCATTCTGTGATTAGATGTCGTGTTAGTTGTCAGGTTTCTTTTGAGCACTTTCACAGGCTGTCCTTTTATGACATTGACATTTTTGAAGAATGCCGCCTTACAAGGGACTAACTCCCTGGAGTCGAGGTGTGAATTAGCATTTTAAAAGCCTAATGTCCCTGCCCAGTGCCTCTGCAGGGGTGGGAAGTCATCCTGTAACTAACTCATCACTCTTTTCACCTCAGGTACAAAGTGACTTAATATTGCCGATCCGAACTTACTTTTTTTGCCCTGTTCTTGAAAATTAAAACAAAGTTTAAAACAATGTATTATTCAATGTCAGATTACACATACATACAAAACAGCCTATTGTTCAGATCCTCCCAGAATGAATTAGCCTGGCTGTACTTTTTCCTGGTTCTTTGGTTTTCAGGGTTATGGGTGAGGGGCTGGGGGTTTGACATGTAGCCAAACAACTTGTTTTCCAGGGGCTTTCGTTTCCTTCTCAAGGAGGAGGCCTTTCGACCAGTTGACTTGCTAAGTTTTTGTACATTCTTGTATTGGTAGATTCTGAGTTCTCCTGGTTGTCCATAAGTCTATAAATCTGCAGTTTAACTGGAAATCTCGAGCCTCAGCATCCGTTCTCTCAGTGGTCACTGCCATTTTAGTCTCCTAAGGTGCAGATGTAGACCCTCATTTAGATTCTCAGTACCTGTGGGGTTATGTAAATTACAGCTAGTACTTGCCTGAGGATTTTCCTCATCTGCTCTACCATCGCTTAGGTCTAATTGTTCATGTTCTGTCAAGCTTGTGTCCTTCAAGCCACTTCTCTGCAGTTTGGCTGTGTGAGCCCCTTTGAGAGGGCCAGCTGCTCTGGACTTGGTCCTGGGGAGACTGCGGCCTCATGTGCCAATCTCCCAGCTGCGGGAGACATCTTCCTGTCATCTTCGCTGGCCATCACTTCTATTCCTTGGATTCTTTAGCAGACATATATTGTCCAGGCTCTGGGGAAAGGGAAGAAGACAGGTACCCAGAGTGTAGTTAGGCATGAGGAGGTCTTTATTTTAAAGAGAGACTGAAGGATTAGGCTATGCAAATAGGCCTTAGTGTCTTAACTTGTGTGCTTCCCAAAGCACCCTACCAGCCTGACTGGTAGACTGACATGGCTCATTCCTTACCTAGTGAAGGAGTGTCTCTTGCTTGCCTGCCTTTGAGCTGAGCTCTGGTACAAAGATGAACAAAAATGGCTCTGCCCCAGGGACTCAGCTACGGATAGGGAAGTGGGTATGAAACACAAGTGGCACTAGAACCCAAGTAATGGACATAAAAAACAAAAATGCTCTACTGCCTTTTCATGGAAGGCTTGAAAACAATTTTTTCCCTAAAGTTGACACAAATTCCGGCCTTGGGTGGCTCCTGTACCTTTCAGGGAGCTTCTCAGGAACCCGCAGATCAGCCACCTTCTTACAGCAAGCTTCCACAATTGCTCTGAGCTATTCTCTTATGAGAATGTTGATTTGACTTTGCAGTTCTGCAGTAGTTGTCTTCAGCATAACCTCATTTCCATACAAAGACCAAGAGGCACAGTGGTAATTGTTTCATTTGCAAAGAAACCCCAGAAAACTTGCGTTTAAGGTTTTTGTTTTTTCCCTAGACATTTCATGCCCAGTAGCTATTATATATTCCTTCTTCCCTACAGGGGAGACATGAACTAAGTCCCTCTGTATCTTGTTTGGTTTCAAAGTAAATTTGAAACACTGGGGAAGTAGGACACCTAACGGGTACAGCTCTTTTCACGCCTTCTAAGATCTCAAGGAGCAAAGGAACCTTCCATATCTAGTTATTATTAAAAAACTACATTTTTGGTTGAACAAATAATTTAGTAGGTGGTAGGTTTATCATTGAAAAATAATTCTAGGGACTGTTTCCTCAAATATATTCTAACACTGTTAAAATGTCCAGTATGAGAGTTCTCAGAGAAGTCTCTCTCTGGTTTTGGTATCATCTGTGAATTTGTTAAAATTAAAAATTCAGACCTCACGTTAGACCTACTGAATCAGAAACTGGCTGGGGCCAGAAATCTGTTTTAACAGGCCCGTTAGGTGGCTCTGGTTGATGCTAACATTTGAGAACCACTGATTGAGTGAGTATATATTATGACTTCAATGTGGTCAATGACAGTAGTCAAATCAAAATAGAATATGAGACATTTAACAGCATTTCCCCCCCAAAAAATTGTTTCAAAAATACATCTTTAGTTTACATTTCCATTTATTTTGTTAGGAGAGATAAAATAGGAATAGATATCACATAAGCACAATTTAAAGGGAGCTAGAAGAAACCTCTTCAGCATGAGAGCTAAGATATACATGTTCTGCCTTTTGGATAATTAGGTCAAAATTGTTGTCAGAATCTTCAAGCTTAACAATCTGGGAGGATCTTTTAGGGAAAAAAAACCATTCTGCTTTGCTTTTGATCACAGAGAGAAATGGAAACAGGAGCCCTCAGAAGGTGAGCAGGAACAAGGCACTGGTGCAGAGAGTGAAGCAGAGCAAAAAAAAGGGAAAGCCAGGAGGCCTGTCCCCAGAAGGTGCAGTGTTTGCCCGACAGCTCTGCCTCTGATGGAGCTCCGTTTGTGCTAGATAGAGGTTAACCTGTGCTAGAAAGAGCCTTAACTGGTGGGACACAGTGTGTGATGACTGGGTTTCCCACATCTGTGGTTTGCTTCTTCCCAGCCTGCATCATTAGCAAGTGATCTGATGACTGGGCTGCTTTTGTCGATCATGGATGTTGACATCATATGTAGCTTAGAGTGACTCTCACTGATTCTTACCCCATGCAGATTAGTTACGTGGGAAGGATGTATCTTCTCTTTAAAAAAGCTCCTTGTAATATTTGACTCCTGGACAAGTTCTTTTGGAGGGAACCAATTCTTAAGTTTAAAACACAGATTGTCTGGTGCAAGTGTACTTCACTGTTTATTACCTTGTTTTTGTAATCTCCATAACATTAAACAGAGAATCTAGTTGTCGGAAGGGGTAGTACGCCGAGGTGGCAGGAAAGTGGTAATTTTTGATCAGTTGGATGGCAACATAAGGTACTGGTGTTGGTGGGAGAAAGGTAGGAGGTAGAGAGGAAGATTTACCTCCTTGCAGTATGGTTGAGGGTGGGGTTGGCAAGCAATTGCCTTTGGGCCAGATCCCACTCACTACCTTGTTTTGTACGGCCTACCAGCCAAGAAGAGCTTTATCGATGGATGTTTATAGTTTGACGAGGTTCCCAGTTAAGTGAAATGTCATCCTTTGAAAAAGAATGCTGTTCTTCTCATTAGATATATATCACAAAAATATACTAGGTAGTTATGGTTTTATTTGGAATTTTGTCACTAAAAATATGTGAAAATTTATTTTCTTACTGTATAAGTACCTGTGTAGTGGCCTCAGTTTTGCTTCTTGTCTGGAAAGCCAAAAACATTTACCCTTTGGCTATTTACAGCAAAATGTTTTCCTACCCCTGGCTTGGGACACTGTACTTGTCCCCCCCCCGCAGGGAAATTCATCAGCTGAGTTTTGTCTCCTTTCATCTGAGTTGAAGCACTCCAGTCTGTCTTCTAGATTTTACCCATCATTTATTGAGCCCTCAATCTTGAATCCTCTGTGTAGCATGGTTATGGTAGGTCCCAGAGAAAGAGATAGGTGTGATGGTGTTTTCAACTTCATTTTCTCCTTTCACCTTTTTACCACTGCTAGAGTGGCAATTTGGGGATTTCCTTGTGTGAGGTCCTAGATGATGGCGCTTAGCCCTGGCTGGGCGTGGGCAGAGGGCCATGTCCTCAGTCTGTTTCATTGGCCTGTGGCAGGGCAGTCTCTCAGGTGGTCTTCCAAGTACATTCTATGCACATGTCAGAAAAATGTATGTGTAGTTATTTCCTGTCCTTTCCCCTTTTATACAGATCATACATTTCATTTACCTTGTGTGTTTTTCTTTCATGATCTTGGAAATCTTTCTATATATAGTACATGGAAAACTCCCCCCTTTTTTAAATGGCTCCATAGTATCCTGTTTATTGAACTAGTTCCCAGTGAATGAGCACTTACAGTTTTTCTGATCATTTGTTACTGCAAATAATGCTTCAGTGAATACCTTAATATGCCTGTACCGGTGTGTATGTGTAAGATCAATTCCCAGAAGTGAAATTGTTGTATTAGTAAGTTTGAGAGATATTTCCAAATTACCCACCAAAGAGATGCACCAGCAACATGCTATGAGTGTAATTTTATGTCGCATGATCCTGAGGCACAGTGGAGAACCATTGCCTTGGAACCCACTGTATCTCCTATAAATCCTTGAAGACTGTCAGCATTAGGTTCATGTTCATGTTGAAAATGCAGATTTCTAGTGAATTAGAATCTCAGAGAAAGAGACCCAGGAATACACATTCCTAACGTCCCCTGGTTAATCCTACATATGAACCCCTGCTCTGGGAAATAAATTATACAGATTTGAAGTAAACACCAAATGATAGAGTAAAACTGCTATCTTCTCATTTTAGAACAGTGGCCAAACCTCGTGTTAAAAAGCAACCGAAAGCTCAGCGTGGAAAGAAAAAAAAGCAGGAGTCTTCTGATGATGATGATGAAGACGATGAAGCTCCCAAAAGGCAGACTCGTCGAAGAGCAGCTAAAAATGTTAGGTAGGTGACACCCCAGAAGGTTTTTGTTAGTGTGAGGGCGATAGTTTGAATATTTTGGACTTCCTTCTGAGCCCTGGATTATGTATCTGGTAGGCAAAAAATAATGGCCTGTTTCTTGTGGAGCTATTTGGAAATCTAGTCTGTGTTCGTGCAAAAAGAGTGCTGTTGGTCAACGGGAATGTGGAAAGAGTACCATTGGCTCATTTCAAGCCTTCATTCCCATTGAAAGCTGCTTCAGGTTCATGGCCTGTTGAGGCAGCTTAGTGATGTCACCTTGAGTTCATAACATCCTTTCTTAAGAAAGATGTTTGGGTGCTTTCTTGCTTCTGAATTGCTCTTTGAATCATAAAAATTCTTCTAAAGTTCAGCTTGTATATTGGTATTTGGGTATCATAATTTTATCAAGCTTACTAATAGGGTATGAAGCATTGACAGAAAACAGAATAAAATACAACAACAGTATTTTACTTTACCTGAATCTAAGGGCATTTAATTTTTTTGAAAGAGGACATGCATTTATTTTTGGTCTACTAAGTCCTGGAGATATTAATGGCCTGTCCAGTGCATCCAGCTAATGCCAAAGCAAGGGCTGGGCTTTGAGTTGCTGATGTGGAGCTTTGTCCTACAGCTGCGCTGCGCCTGGCGCTGTGCTTTTCTCCTGTGTGGCTCCAACCCACTTGCTGTTAATACGTGGTGGGAGGTTACATCTGAATATTCTGTTACTAGGAAGAATATTTGGTGAAGTTCTGAACAGCTTCAAAGTACTTAGATTTCATATTCTTGTTATCGGGAGACAAAATATAGGCTTAAAACATTTAATCTTAGAATCTTAGTCTTTTGCCTGACAGTTTCCCCCCCACTCGTTATACATTTTCTGTGTAGTCGTTTCCTTGTTTATATAGTAACGATCTCACTAAAAAATGAACGCAGGTGTTTCCTTGCAGTTTTCTGTACCTTGCTTACACAAGTCACTGTAAATATAGTCTGTTTTTGTTTTGAAAGGGGAGTTAGCCTTCCTGGAGTTATTTATGAACATGCATTAATACATTAAGTAGGAAAAAGATGAACTCAGAGCTCACTCTATCTGCAGCTGATCTGTAAAATGGTGTGTTGGAGCCACCATGGTGAGGCTCCTTATCCTAATGACGTTACGCGTGGCAGTGTTATGTTCTGGAAAGGTAGTTTCTCATTTATTCAGCATTGTTTCTCTGCAGTTACAAAGAAGATGATGACTTCGAGACTGACTCAGACGATCTCATTGAGATGACTGGCGAAGGAGTTGATGACCAGCAGGATAATAGTGAAACCATCGAAAAGGTCTTAGATTCAAGGTTGGGGAAGAAAGGAGGTATGTGCCTTTGGCAAGCAAATTATTGGTGTTTTTTTTCTCATGTTTTTATTGATTTCAAAGAGGGAGAGGGAGAGGGAAAGGAAGAGATAGAATAGAAACATCAATGATGAGAGAGTCGTCATTGATCGACTGCCTCCTGCACCTCCCCCCCCGACTGGAGATCGAGCCTGCATCCCGGGCATGCGCCCTGACTGACCTCCTGGTTCATAGGTTGACACTTAACCACTGTGCCACACTGGCCGGGCGCAAATTACTTTTTATATCTGCTCACTTAAGACCCACATTTTACATATTTCAACTCTGAAACGATGCACTTCAGTCATTGCCCATATTTGTTGTGAAATGTAGAAGTTTTTCGGACCTCATCATGTTTCAGAGCTGAGAATAGAGGGATGTGTTAATATGTTTTTGAGGTTTTAAAGTTAAGCTAGTAAAGAATGTGTTACAGTCTTAAAAAGCAGCAGCAATGTAGCAGAGGTTCTTGCTTATTGACATTAACCAAATATGCCTTTAGTTGTTTCTGAATCTCCTTGTGAAAAGTATGAAACTGGTTAAATGCATATTTGGACCATAATGAAGATTTTTTAAATTTTCAAACTGAAATAATAACTCAGTTTCTTTAACGTAATCTTTCTGTATAGGAAATATCAAGATAATACCTATTCATTTTTCTCTGTCTCTTTTTTTTTTCATCCAGCCTCAGTTGAGGTTAAGAGAGTTAACAGAGAACTTTGGGTAGACGGTTAATTACTGGAGATATTTTTATTTTCTTACTTAATTCTTCATATTCTTGGAGGGACAGATTTGTTTTCTAGTTAGTAGGGACTCGAACTTAAGGATTGTTGCTCTTCCATTTTTATTGTGTTTGGATGCAAGGATTTCTCAGATTTCACTAGCAAGTTTTGGAATATGTTTTAAAGCATAAAAATTGGGTTTGCATTTTAAAAATATTTGAAATGATTGATTTTATCCTGTATTCGCGAATTTTTGCTGCTTTCAAGTGAAAGGATTTTGGTGCTTCCTTCAAAAAGAGATTCTTTTCTTTAGACAGCTGCATCCTTGGGAAACTTCAGTGTGTGGTTTCATGTGCTTTCTAAAGTTTGTTAAAACCGAATCATTTTGCAGCCACTGGAGCGTCTACCACTGTATACGCAATTGAAGCAAATGGAGACCCAGGTGGCGACTTTGAGCCAGGAAGGGATGAGGGCGAGGCACAGTACCTCATCAAGTGGAAGGGCTGGTCCTACATCCACAGCACCTGGGAGAGCGAGGAGTCCCTGCAGCAGCAGAAAGTGAAGGGCCTAAAAAAACTCGAGAACTTCAAGAAGAAAGAAGATGAAATCAAGCAATGGTACGTTTTCCATAGTGGCTTAAAGAAATGCATTTGCAGCCTGCGGGACAGGAGGCTTCGATGTACATGGACGTCAGACCCGCCAGTGTCATGGGGTCAGGTTATTTTGTGTCAGGAATTGGAACAGATGAGTTCTCATTCACTTTGTTTTTGTTTTTTAAATATGTCTTGACTGATTTCAGAGAGAGGAAGAGAGAGAGAGAAACATGAATGATGAGAGAGTTGTCATTGATCAGCCGCCTCCTACACGCCCCCAACTGGGGATTGAGCCCGCAACCCAGGCATGTGCCCTGACCGGGAATCAAACTTCAATCTCCTGAATCCTAGATCGATGCTTAGCTGCTGAGTCATGCCGGCCAGGGCTCATTCCTGTTTTTTTATTGTGCAAAATACGCTACTTCACTAAATCATGTATTTTTCCTCAGATCCAAAAATAAAAAATATCCCTAAGATAGGAGTAGCTTATAAAGCATAGAAATTTAAAGTTCACAAAAGTATGGTGATACCAAATTTCAGGCGGCGGCTGCTGTCCTTTCAAAGAGCTTTGGTGCTAAAAATAACTAGTGTTCCAAAAAAGCTACATTTAATCACCCCTAAAGTCCATTATATATTTAAAAAGGCAGGTTATCTTTTAAACCTGGAAGACAGTTCTGTTGTCTCTGGTCTGTTTAGATATACGAATTTATCCCATGACATTACAGAAATTTGTTACAAAATAGTTATTTTTAGGTTTCCTCGTAAATAGACCACATCCAAGAGGGGAACCTAAGGTGTTCAGAGTTTTCTAAAAGTGGATGTTTTTTGTAAAATCTCTGGCCTAGTTACTAGAGCAGTAAAGGGGCAGTACTTCCAGGTGGAAGTAAAGACCAGATGTCCTTTCCTGCCTCTGACTTCGCTTTGATGGATGCGTATGGATTCCCCAAATTAATGAGTTTGTGCTTTGTCTGTCTGTATGCTGTCCAGGTTGGGGAAGGTTTCCCCTGAAGATGTGGAGTATTTCAACTGCCAACAAGAGCTAGCCTCGGAGTTGAACAAACAGTATCAGATAGTAGAGAGAGTAATAGGTAAGAACATGGAAACTTCCTTTAGCCGTGTCGGGAGGAATAGCTGATGTTTGGGGTGGAAAACAAGAGCTTAGTTTGATATTCTTAGTCATCTAAGTGGAGAGTATTGTGAAGAATGTGGCATATGTGAGCCTGGCGTTCAGGACCCTGGGCTAGAGATCTAGATTTGAGAATTTATCGGTACTATATGGATAGTAGTTAAAGCCTAAGATTTAATGAGATCATTAGAAATGGTATACATGGTGAGAATGGGAAGGCCGAGAGCATTTTAGCTTTTGGAAGTTAGAAAGAAGCCAGAGACTGGGAAAGGACAGCCAGTGAGATGGGAGAGGAGAGAGGGTGGTGCACTGACAGGCATGTGATTTGCACAGCTTGGGAAGGAGGCAGTGCTGCTGGTCAGTACAGTGCAGACTGGGACTTGGTCCTTGAATCTTCGATAGGTTGTGGCATAGGCGAAATGGACCCATGGAGTGGTGGGGTCACTTCAAGAGAGAATGGGGGACAGTGAGTAAAATCAGCTCTCCTTGGAGTTTTGTTGTAAAGAGGAACAGAGAAATGGAGAAGTAGCTAGACAGGGCCATGAGAACATGATGGGTCTTTTTAAGATGCAAGATAGTTTATTGATATTTTTCCCTGTCGGACATAAAGTGTCATTCCATTCTTGATTATAGTGATAACTTTTTTCTCTCATTGTCCATTTGTTTAGCTATGAAGACAAGCAAATCTACACTGGGTCAGACAGATTTCCCAGGTAAGTAAGAGATCTTGTTTATGACTGTTTAGCATTTACAAGCAGTTCATGTTTTGCAGTGTTTACAGTTTAGCCACACGATGTTTTCATTGATTATACGTAAAACAGAGTGTTGTTCCTTTCTGTTAACGCTGACCTGTATTTTTTTATGCATGCAATAGCTCACAGTCGGAAGCCAGCGCCTTCCAATGAACCCGAGTATCTATGCAAGTGGATGGGCCTGCCCTACTCAGAGTGCAGCTGGGAAGACGAAGCCTTGATTGGAAAGAAGTTCCAGGGCTGCATCGACAGCTTTCATAGTCGCAACAACTCTAAAACCATCCCAACGAGAGAGTGCAAGGTGGGGTGGGGCTGGCTTTCATTCCTTAGGGGGAAGATGTGTTGACACAAAGGGCTGGTCAGTCAGATACTGGGAAGATCAAATGTTACAAAACTAAATAAAGCAAATTCACTGAAAACATTCTGGAGGCAGTCTGGTTTTGGGACCCTGGACCATGATGAAAGGCTTGTGGTGGGTTGGGGAGTCAGAAGGAAATTGGCATTTTTATGCTTTGGTGCCAAGCACGTAAATTGTGGCTAGCATTTTAACATAGGAGCAGGAAGGAATTTTTTTCTCACGCGGGCTTTGTTAAATTTTGTTTCTCAGGCCCTGAAGCAGAGACCACGATTTGTGGCTTTGAAGAAACAGCCGGCGTATTTGGGAGGGGAGAACCTGGAGCTCCGAGACTATCAGCTCGAAGGCCTCAATTGGCTCGCTCATTCCTGGTGCAAGTAGGTAGAAAAAGATGCTTGGCATTTTTACTGTCTTTGGCTTCTTTATTGTTATAGGCAAAGAATTACTTCTTCCTACTGTAGATTGTAGAAATTTAAAAATTATGTCATTGAGAGAAGTCCCTTCTGAGAGTTTTTTTACATACATATAATATCATATTAATCTGAAGCCAAGTACAGTCAGTTTTTTGGATTTGCAGATTCAACCAATTTTGGGTTGAAGATAATTCTGGGGGGAAAAGTTTGGTGAAAATTAACCATTTCCTCCCACTAGGGTGGAGAGACGAGAGAAATATGAGGGAAATTACTCAGGAATACTCTGTGTACTTTCTTCCTAAATTAAAAATTTAATCTCTCCTTGGTGAATTAAGTGTCTTGCTTTTATCTTTTTAATTCTTACTCGAGGATATGTCTTTGTTGTTTTTATTGATTTTAGAGAGAGGAAAAGAGAGAGAGAAACATTGTTGTGAGAGAAGCATCAAGCAGTTGCCTCCCATTTGCATCTGGCCGGGGGTTGAACCCGCTGCCTAAGTATGTGTGTGCCCTGACCAGGAATGGAGCCGCAGCCTTTCCTTGTACAGGGATGCCAGGCTTTTGGTGCATGGGATGACGCTCTAACCAGCTGGGCTGGTGTCTTGTTTTTCTAATCCGTTACATTGTCTTTAACTTGTATGTATCACTTCCAGCGCTCCCTGGGTCACTCATTAAGCCTGTATTATATATGTGTAAACCTTCAGTGGCCTGATTTGCAGGACACTTTGAACATTTTTGACCTGTGTCAAACATGTATTCCTAATTTCCTGCCAAACGGGCTATTTTCTCTTTTTTGAAAATACTTTTCCTAACTCTGACCATTTTGTCAAAAAAAATTGTTTTAAATGTATTTCTTTAAAAAAAAATTTTTTTTCTATTGATTTTAGAGAAATGAAGGAAGAGGGAGAGAGAGACATCAATGATCGGCTGTCTACTGCATGCCTCCTGCTGTGGATTGAGTCCCCAACCTTGGCATGTGCTCTGACTGGGAATCAAACCACAATCTCCTGGATCATAGGTCGATGCTCAACTGCTGAGCCACACTGGCTGGGCAGATTTTTTTCTTATATCTGTACAATTCTTTTCCTATTGGTATCCTGTCGAAATCCAACATATCTACTAAAGCAGCGTTTCTCAAAGTGTGGTCCCAGGAATACACCTGCATGAGAATATGCAGAAGTGCTTATTCTTACATGCAGAAGTGTTAAGATGCAGATTCCTGAGTGAGTCCTTTCCTAGAAACTGATTCAGGTGTGGGATTAAGAAATCCTTTCCTTCTGTTGACTGTTGTGTATTTATTTAGAACGAGCTGTATGCACAGCAGTATGTAGTCTGGGGAGCACTGTGTGTAGCATTAAACAACCCAGAGGCAAGCAGCAGGTTGGGTGGGTAATTTGAGCCAAGGCACATGACTGTCAGGCTCTAGGGATCAGCAGCAGTGGGACTGGCCAGTCTGCTCTGCTTTCTGTGTTGGAAGCCAAGGTCATGTGCTTATGTACACCTACCTCTTCTGTTCCAGGGATAGCTGGACAAGACCACAATGCAAGGTCAAGAACATAGTCTGAACAGGCGCTCGTAGTAGTCCGAGTCGTGATCATGCCTAGATCACTCGTTAATTCTGTTTGTGGCTTCTACATACTTTCTTATGTAGGAGACTTACTTGCAGGCGAGAGGAAATTCATTGAGCCACACAATGAAATGCCTTGCTTGAGGACGTTGTGGGGCATCGGTGTCCTTGCTCTTTGTGCACATACTGTTTTTTGTGTGACCTCATGATTTTATTTTTCTTTTCCCTACAGAAGCAACAGCGTAATCCTTGCTGATGAAATGGGCCTGGGGAAGACCATCCAGACAATATCATTCCTCTCCTACCTGTTCCACCAGCACCAGCTGTATGGCCCCTTTCTTATAGTCGTCCCTTTGTCCACCCTCACCTCATGGCAGAGGGAGTTTGAAATCTGGGCACCAGAGATTAACGTAGTGGTTTACATAGGTGACCTGATGAGCAGAAATACGGTGTGTAAACAAAAAGAACTGTAATAGAATCTGTGTTATAAATGTATTTTGGAAATTGACCTAAAGCCATTATAGTTTTTAGTAAAATTATGATTCTGACACTGCTGTGTCCCTGATATTGGGAGATAATATGTCTCAAAAAAAATGCAACTGTAAAACGCTTATATTTAATATGAAAATACATGAAGGAGAATCTCTTAGTTGGACTACAGTATTAAGTTTTTCTTCTCTCTGTCCTCTGTATTTCCAAGACCACTTTATTTGTGAAGGAATATAAGGAGTTAATATTTTGTAGAATGTTAATATGCTGTTTGAGCTGAGAGATATTACTGAACATAATCGAGTTCTTAGAGTGTGTTTTCCAGCCTTTTAAAATGGTGAGGTTGCAACTGTACTTGAAAAGAATTTAAAAATTAAAATAACTTTAATGTATTAAAGTTATAATGAAGAAATAAAAGGAAAGGACAAGGAGCCATTCCAAGGCAGCAGAGGTGACATCTGCCTGTAATCAAACCTGAGCACCGTAAACTTAGTTTTTCTTGAGAATCACTAACTTTTTTTTAAAAAGCTCCTGTTATGTGCCAGGCCCTGTGCTGGTTGCTTTATGTATGTTGCCCGTAATCCTCATGATAGTCTTCAGAGTAGATCATGTTCTTTCCAACCAACGGTTGGAGACACTGACTCAGAGAGGTGAACACTTGTCCCCAGGCCAGCTAGAATGTGGGGTTGGGGCAGAGATGTACTGGGTCCCATACCTTTGCTCTTTCCCCTGTTCGTTAAACTGTTTCTGGGGGATTGCTTCTAATGAGAGCAAGCCATCAGGAACCCGAAAACCTTTGAGAGAGCTGTTACAATCACATATTATCATGCTCATTCAAATTTATTTTCAGTAAATATTTTCATTGTCTAGCCTAAACCCTGGCAGATTTCATTGCCCTTATGTTCAGTTTCTAAGCATAGTTTTTAGTTTTGTCCATTTTGGTAACCATTACAAAAGAAAAGGAACGACTTCCTAGGGGATGCGAAAGGGCTTGAAACCCTGCATTCAGTAGTCAAGACGAGGAGACAAATTGTTGTCGCACCTGGGAAGCTTTCTTAGTGGTCTTCAGTGTCCTTTACTTTGTTTTTCTTCCCACTTGCTGGTAATCGCCTCATGTACTCCTTGTCCTGTGGTCGGTCCTCTGACTCGACCACCAAACTGCAGGAGCCTTGTCGCAGGCCATTGTGCTGTGGGTGTCCAGTCACACCTCAGTGTGAATGTGTTAGCTTTTGTGCCTTCACATTGACGTTACTTTCGTTCCTATTAAATTATATTCTCACTCAGTTAGCTCCCTTTCCTTTTTCTTGGGTGCACATCTGTCAGCTCTGATTAATGAGGTTTCTGACCTAGCTGGGGGTTGGCATTTGTTTTACTTGTTGATAAAATTATTGCCCTGCCCAGAGAATGGTCAAATTCTAGTACCTTAAGAAAGCTCTCATTTTGGGGTTTAATTGCTGATGAAATGCATTTTTGGGGTCAGTTGTATTGAGGCTGGACAGGTGAAGGGAAATGACAATTTATTTGAATTCTGGCGGTAAAGTTTTTGCTGCTCAGTGATAGATCTTTTAATTCTGTTACTGCTTTATATGTTGATTAGGCCATTTTAGAATGTATAAGGTATTAAATTCTACATATCTTTTTGTTGCATCTGTCGTAAGACTTACTGGTCAAGTAGAAATTGTATCTTAATTACCATTCTCTTTTATAGATACGAGAATATGAATGGATTCATTCTCAGACCAAAAGGCTCAAGTTCAATGCACTTATAACAACATATGAGATCCTTTTGAAAGATAAGGTGTGTAATTGGTCCTAAAGGGCTACATTTTGTAATGTGACTTGTCCATATGGTAGGGTGTGTACCTCCCACTTGCTGTGTTAAAAGAAGCAGACAAATCCACAAAGGATATCAAGGTTAGGCAAAACAAAACAGAAACTTATAGTAGAAGGAGACCTTGAGTTGCCTAGTCCAGTTGAATTACACAGGGCGAAGGGGAGTTGAGGCCCGTAACCCCTGAGATCCTAGCCTGTCGTTGGAAATGGCCCAAGTGCCGTCCCACCGTGGTTCAGGCATTTCTCCCGAACGGGTGGGATGGTCTCCGAGGATGATCGACCAATGAGGCTCTTTAAATGACCTCCTTTCTACAGTTAGTAAATAGTGTATGTGGCAGGTGATCCCATTGGTGACAGTAAGTGTAAAGAAGTGCTTGATGTTTCTGTGCTTCAGGGTTGGGCTGGAGAACAGGGCGAGGAGAACCTTAATTAAGGAGAGACTGCAAAGCCCTGCGTTTGGGTTTTTGTTTGTGGCTTTTTTGCGTGTGGTTTTGCCCAGCATCCTGAGTTCTGCGTTCTTGCTCTGGGCGCAGCAGTTCCTGGCCTACGGTCCTCTGTGCCTTTTGGAAGAGGCCGCTCTTGGAGTAGACGTCCACCGGGAGACCGCCGAGTAAACGAGTCCTCAAGTGCTTCAGTCCGCGAGTGAATGTTTCTGTGTGTGCCTGTGTGATGGTATTTGTACAGAGATAATTAACGCTTGCAAGTACTTTTGGGTTCCCTTCTGACCTGGCGGCTCGTTCTGTTTTGTTTTTACTTTAGACTGTGCTGGGCAGTATTAACTGGGCCTTTCTGGGAGTGGACGAAGCCCATCGGTTGAAGAATGATGACTCTTTATTGTATAAAACTCTGATTGATTTCAAGTCCAACCATAGGCTCCTGATTACGGGGACCCCTCTTCAGAATTCCCTCAAAGAGCTCTGGTCCTTGCTGCACTTTATTATGCCGGAGAAGTAAGCTCCTTCCTGTGTATTTCAAAACATGCTACAATGTCGGAAATGCCAATGCTTTTTAACTTTTTTCAGTAGACCTTAGGGGAAACGGATGGCATGTTTTGGGGAAAGCGAAGTATTAACTGAGGCAGGAAGAGACGAACTAAAATGTCCGTATTGCACAGAAAGCAGCCTGTTAAGGAGGAGAGCAGATTGTCTACCAAACATTTGAATCGGTTACTACTTTGGGGAAATAATTAGTAGACAGGAAACATCAGCCCATCTCACTTTTGTTGTAAGGCAGGCAGTAAAATTGAAATGAAATCTGCAAGGTACACAGTCTGACAAGTGTTAAATCCTTAAACCCAAACCTTTGCTAACAGAAGCATCACCTTGAGGTCTTACTCAAATCTTTAACTTAATAAAAATTTGTGGGATGTGTGTTTTGAGAAGATTTTTGTGGGAGAGACGGTGTGCACATTTCATAAAAGTTAAAGTTGTCCAGCGGTGTTTGGTGATACTTAATATGAAATCTAAACTCGTTGCCCTAATTTGAAGGACCCCGCTCAAGCCTGGCCCCTTGGCAGTACTGACTCATCCTGTAGTGCTTTCTGCGTCACTCGTTCTGCCCCAGCCATTGGGGCCACTTTTCCTTTCCTTTCCCCTGCCATGCCATTGCCGTTCCTGTGGAATGTTTTTTCTCATCTTCATGTGGCCAATCACTTGTTAATATTTTTGCCTCAGTTTATGTGACCACTTCCTTGTAGTGGTTTCCTCAGATGACCTAACCTAAAGTTGCCTATTAGACATGCTTATTGTCCCTACCCTGTTTTATTTTGTATATGGCACCCCTCCCCCCCATTTATTTCCTCGTTCAGCTCATGTCATTAAAATTCAGAAAAGATGCGAGTGCCTACTATGTGCCATAAACTGGTCAAGGCATTTTGGGTAGCCTGATGACCAACATAGAAATGGTCCCTTTCCCCATTTGTTAACTTTTAAAACAACATTTTGAGATACAACGTACATACCATAAGGTGTACCACTGTAAGTATAAAATTCATTATTTTTTAGTAAATTTGTAGAGTTGTGCAACCATCACCATAATCTAGTTTTTGCATATTTTTTCATGCAAAAAAGTTCCCTCTTGCTTGTTTGTTAATGCAAACTCTGCTTTTGCCTCTAGCCTTAGGCATTTGCTAACCTGCTTTCCCCTCTAGTGATTTACCTTTTCTAGAAATTCCATATAAATAGAAGTTTAATAAGTGCACTTCTGTTTTTGGTTCCTTTCATTTAGCGTAGCAGTTTTGAGATTCTCAGGAGCTATTCTCTTATTGTGACTAACACTCGATTGTATGCCCAGTCAGTTACCAGTAAATGGACATTTGCATTGCTTTAGTGCCGGGCTGTTGTGTCTTTGTGTGGACACACGTTTTATTTATCTTGCTTAGATGTTTAGGAGTGGACTTGCTGGGTTGTGTGGAAAGTATATGGTTCTTAAGGAACAACCAGGCTGTTTTCCAAAGTGACGGTACTATTTACATTCCCATCAGAAATGTTTGAATTTGCTAGTTTCTCTGTATCATCGCTGATACTTGCATTGTCAGTCTTCTGGATTCTACCCATCTGGTGGGTGTGTAGGGGTATCTCATTGTCGCTTTGACTCGCATTTCTATAATAACTAATAATGCTAAACATCATTTTATGTGTGCATTAGCCATTTGTGTATCTTTTGTAAAATGTCTTTTCAGATTTTTTGCCCATTTTATTGGATTGTCTGTCTTCTGAGTTGAACAGATTTTTAATTTCTTTTTCTTTATTTTTAAATATTCTAGATGCAAATGCTTTATTAGTATATGATTTGCAAATATTTGTCCCTGTCTGTGGCTTGTCTTCCCATTTTCTAAATGTTGCCTTTTGAAGAGCAAAAGAGGAAGGTCTCTTCCTAGTTTTTGAGAGTTCTTGCAGTGAATGAGCGCTGGATTTTGTCTCATGCTCTTTTTCCGCGTATGTTGAGATGACGGTGTGGTTTTTGTTCTAGATTCTGTCAGTATGTGGTACATTCTGTTAGCTACGTTTCAGATGTTAAGCCAGCCTTTCATTCCCGGGGTAAAGCTGCCTTGATCCTGATGTTTAACCCTTTTCTGTATCGTTGGATCCAGTTTGTTGATATTTTGTTAGATTTTTGCATCTGTGTTTTTGAGGGATATTAGACTCTAGGTTTTTTGTTGTTTTGTATGTTTTCTTTGTGCATGTGTCTGACTGGCTTTGGTATCAGGATCATTGAATGAATTGGAAAGTGTTCCCTCTTCTATTTTCTGAAAGAGTTTGTTAGCATTGGTGTTATTTCTTCTTTTAATATTTGATAGGTTTCCTTTGTGAGAAATTTTTTAATGACTAATTCAGTATCTAGTTATAGGTCTCTTCAGGTTTTCTGTTTCTTAGTTTTGTTAATTTGTGTCTTTGTAAGAATTTGTCCATTTCATCTAAAGTGTCTCATTACAGTGTTTCCTTACAATCCTTTTAATTTTTGAAGGATCAGTAGTGCTCTAAGTAATTTTTTTATTGCAGTAATTTGTGTCTTGTCTCTCTCGGTCATTTTTAGATAAAGGTTTAACAATTTGGGGGATGTTTCTAAGGCTGATGTTGACCCACCTGGCAGTTCTGATGCAATGCTTGGCCATTTATGAGTCAGAAATGGCAGCTGACTCCATTGATGCCACTGTGCCTGGTGGCAGTGCTGGCATTTGCTGGCTGTGACTTACCGGAGAGCAGATGCTCGAGTCTTCCGTAGCCCTAGGTGACGCTGGGTCACTTGAGTTGGTTATTTTGGCTTCAGCAGAGCAGGGCCACCTGGTGCCCAAGAGCAGACCATGGGGCGGTGACTAAGCTTCTGGTCGTAGCCTCAGTTAATGGCTCGCTCTTACCTGCCGAGGGCGTCTGCACCCAGAACTAGGCCAGTTCTTCCAAGTGGGTGTCCCATTGGCAAGACAAAGCACATTTTTCTAATCCTTGTAAAACAAATTTTTTTTTTTTTTTTTTTGAAGGAAATTTAATCATAATGTCCAAATCTGGATTTTTGCCACAAATCCTTTAGTGAACCAGAGATGGTCGAGTTAACATTTCAATATGAGAAACTTCTTTCTAAAGTTTGGGCAGAACTATTATGGGTGACAAGTTTTTAAATTCCTTAATAAAATGTACGTGCCCAAGTTTCACTAGTATTAAATTTTTATCACTTGTGTTCATGTCTGAGGGCCATAGTCTTATTTATTTTTGTTACAGTCAGTTAACTTTTAATGAACAGTGAAGATCATTGATGGAAATTATGTAAATTTTGCCTTTGAGCAGTGACAGCTCTAATACTGTCGCTAATTCTTTTACTTCTGAATTTTATTTTCCCAAGAACTTCCAGCTTATTAAAAGATAGTTATGATGATTTTTTCTGCATATTTCATACAGGAACTTACTAGATTTGTATATATACTAATTGTTATACTAATGATATACAGAAATTTGGTGCACTCTAGGTGCAGCTCAGAATTGGAAACCTGGGACCCAGTGTAGACTGATGAGATTAATTCAGTTGGTTTTCTCCTCTCGGATTCAAGAGCTAGTAACTGATAAAACTTATCTTTCCTTATAGGGAAAGTTCATTTTTTTTAAAGATTTTTTTTCTTTTTTCTTTTTCTTTTAAAAGAAATTTTTGTTGGCTAAATGCTTTTTTCTTCTGTGTAACTAAGTAACACTCTACTGTTTCATCCCCAGGTTTGAGTTCTGGGAAGATTTCGAGGAAGACCATGGGAAAGGGAGAGAGAACGGCTACCAGAGTCTCCATAAGGTGCTAGAGCCTTTCCTTCTCCGGAGAGTTAAAAAAGATGTGGAGAAGTCCCTGCCTGCCAAAGTGGAACAGATTCTCAGGGTAGAGATGTCGGCCCTTCAGAAACAGTATTACAAGTAAGCTGTGGGCTAGGTGAGGCCTGGGTGGGGGTAAGGTCAGTACCTTTAAGCCACAAGTGGGTAATGGACAATCAGCTGTTTGCTTCAGTGACGCCTCAACGCAGATTTAAAAAAAAATGTTTTTATTGATTTCAGAGAGAGGAAGTGGGGGAGAGAGATAAAAAAGTCAGTGATGAGAGAGTCATGGATCGGCTGCCTCCTGCATGCCCCCTACTGGGGATCTATCCTGAAATCCAGGCACGTGCCCTGACCGGGAATCGAACCACAATTCCCTGGTTCCTAGGTCGGTGCTCAGCCACTGAGCCACACCAGCCAGGCCTCAACACAGATTTAAATAGCAATTTCTTTATGTTTAGAGGACTGTAAATCGTGGTAACGTAATGTACAGTGTGGTGACTATAGTTAGTTAGAGTAGATTAAATCCTTACCACAAGAAGGAAAAAAATTTGTAACTGTGGTGACAGATGTTAACTTATTGTGATGATCATTTCCCAATATATACAAATACTGAGTCGTAGTGTGTACACTTGATAATGTTATATGTCAGTTATCCCTCAATTAAAAAAAAAAGCATAATAACAATACTGTTGCCATGCCCGAAAGCAATCAATAATTAATACTTTCACAATGTCCAGTAAGTGTTTCTTGGTTCTCATAAATATGCGCACACATACACACACACACACACACACACACTCACACTCACTCTTGTTTGCATTGGGATCTGAGTAAGCACCATACATTGTGATTGGTTGGCATGTCCCTTAAGTTTATTTTAACCCTTCCCCCCCCCTTGTCCTTTGAGTGAAGAAACTGAATCTTGTATAGATTTTTCTCACAGCCTGGATTTTGCTGATTCTGGTGCTGTGGCTCCATTTAATATTTTACTCTGTACAGTTTGTGTCCTGGGCACTCAAGACGAGTGTAGAGGGTTCATTAGACTCAGATTCAGTGTCAGTATTTCATAGAATACCCCAACTCTCTGTTTGAATCTGTTAATAGCATTGTCATCTGTAACTTGCAGATGGATCCTGACCCGGAACTACAAGGCTCTTGCCAAGGGAACAAGAGGCAGCACGTCTGGTTTCCTGAATATTGTGATGGAGCTGAAAAAATGCTGCAACCACTGCTACCTGATTAAACCCCCCGAGGAAAATGAGAGAGAGAATGGACAGGAGGTGCTTCTGGTGCGTGCTCACCGTGCTCGGAATACTTTCTCAAAGGCAGTTTACTTTCTGTAGATGTGTGTGTTTTTTTTAAATAATCACCCGAAGCTGTTTGGTCCATTGCTTTTCAAAGAGAGTAGAAGGGAGAGACACACTGATTGATTGTCTCCACATATGCCCCCATCAGGGCCCAGGATCGAGCCTTCGGTCTGCAGGCCGACACTAACCACTGAGCCAAACTGGCTAGGGCTCTGTAGGTGCTTTTTTATCAAAGTGACGAAAGCATCAAAAGAGGCTTTAAAAACACGTGAGAGCAGGCCCATAGCCAGGAACAATCTGAAAGTATTGTGTCATTGATAACAGGTAAAGAGCATTTCAGGAATTTGTCAGCCAGGTGTAGAAGGCTTCCGAAAGCTTAACTATGATTTTAAAAATATGAACTCCTAGAGATTAAGGGCAGGTTGGAGTATTTTGAACATTGGAATGTCTTTTCAATTTCCAGTCCCTGATCAGGAGCAGTGGGAAGCTGATACTGTTAGATAAACTGTTGACCAGACTCCGAGAAAGAGGGAACAGGGTCCTCATCTTCTCCCAGATGGTGAGGATGCTGGACATCCTGGCCGAGTACCTGACCATCAAGCACTACCCTTTCCAGGTGAGGGTGCTCAGTGATTGGACTCTCCCTCTGCCCCTCCCTTCCTCTGGGCTCTGTACTGTGTTTGCTCAATTATCCTAAAGTAGAAAGCAAGAGTTTTCTTGCTTGAAATAGACCGAGCTTACGGTTCCAGGAGGGCCTTAATTTTCACTTCCATGCCTTCAGGCCAACCCTGTAATGAAAATGCTCTTTCATGGGGGGTGCGAGGGTGGGGATGAGAGGGAAGGAAACTGGGAAGTCTTTTGTTTATCTCAAGTGGTGATTGTGAGGGGAAGAAATACGAACATAGCTTTAAAGAGAAGTGCTTTATATGTACAGGTAATTAATTTTCACTTTTAATTTCACATGTGCTTTATGATGACATTTTTGACTTAGAACTGATGTGTACTCTAATAAAAGCACTGTATGTGCCAGTAAATGCTGGAGGTGCTGTTTTGTTTCGTCTTTTATAATCCTCATCTAAGGATATTTTTCCCATTGCTTTTCAGAGAGAGTGGGAGGGAGGGAGGAGGGGGGAATCATTGATGTGAGAGACACATCGATTGGTTGCCTGCAACTGAAGTACATGCCTTTGGCTGGAATCCAACCTGGGACCCTTCAGTGCCCGGGCCAAGGCTCTAACCACCGAGACAGACTGACCAGGGCACCGGAGGTGCTTTTGAAGGTGCAATTTGGCAGCTTGAACTTTGCTCTGATTTTAGAGTGCTGTTTTTGGATAAGCTGGGATATAGGGTCAACTTAATTTTTAACATTTTCAGTGTTATGGCAAAGTGTTTTCCAAACAAAATGATGAAAATAACCTTTGGTTTGTGTAGCGCTTAATAACTGGGCAACTTTAGCTACATTAGTTAAGAAGCAGCATTTTTCTGCAGGACCTGATAATTCGGTGACCAGGGACAGGAACTGATTATTAGGTGGCCAGCGGTAGTATATTCTCATCTCTTCAGAACCACAGACGTGAAAGTGAGCAAAGCCTTGAAACACAGCTTGGGTTGCTGCCTTTTCCGTTACAGGTCCTGGCAGCCATTCTGATCCTTGGATAAGCCCAGATAGCCCTTTGATTCAGAGCTTCTGACCTTGAGTTTGTAACAGGAGAGCTTAGGGCAGTGGAGTATGTGGCTTAAGCACAGCCCCAGGCAGCGCAGCCAGTGCATTCCAGCTATTTTTACCCAGAGGGTGTCGTGCCGATAAAGGTTGCAGGTCTGGTATTCTGTTTCAAGCGCAGCTGATCCTCCTACCTTATGAACTCCTCGTGCTTTATTTTCACAGCGTTTGGATGGTTCCATCAAGGGAGAGATCCGAAAACAGGCCCTGGACCACTTCAATGCGGATGGTTCTGAGGTACAGCGCACACGGCTTTGTCATTGGGGTAGCTTGGGCTCAGTATCAAGGGCAAAGCCTTTCTGGCTTAAACATTCAGTTCCAGGAACAATTCACGGTGCAAGTCTCCTGTCATGAGAAAGGAATGAGAAATCTCTAATGTGAAAGATGTGTCTTAATTTCACTATCACCCCAGGAAAGCATATGTATGCTCTTGTTTACCTCCCCTGGGGTGGATTAATGACAGAGCAGTTCTAATGTCAACTGAGTTTTCTCTGATGACTTCCAGATACCAAGTTTATGGGCCTAGGAGAGCAGCCAGGCAAACGGGGAGGTCTGGCCAGTAGGGAAATTTTGACATATATGTTAATATGAGCGGCTCTGGTCTGTACTTTACTGCTGACTTTGAGTCTTGAAAAGTACACTTGCCATGCCTCAAATCTGTTGGACCCTGGTACAGTGTGGCTTAATGTTTTGAATTTGGCTAACGGCAGCTTCAGTTAAGTGTCCAGCTTGAATGTGGCATCATGAGTATTTCACCTTTTAGACAGACAGAAGAGCCACTTAGGAGAAGGTGGAAGCCGTAGTAACGTCTTGGTTTCTGCCCATCAGGTGTTACGGACCGTGGGATTGGAGACAAGTGGGGAGGAGAGGTTTAGGGTAGGTAGAGGGCAAGGAGGCTGTGGAGAGATCCAGAGTTGACCTAGACACGTCCTGCAGAGAACGGCAGAACTTCTCAAGTCTGGGCCACTGCTTCGTATAAACAGAACAGACTTGACTGCTTTCTGAAGAGCTTGACACACTCTTAATGTCTGTCTCTCACCCCAGAATGGTGTGCCTTCCGCCCCCAGCCTTGCACGTAGTCCTAGTTAAAGTGCAGCATTCTGGCAGCTTCTCCAGCCCCAAATTTTAGTTCTTGAGCTTTGGGCTCTAATCTGTTTAGAACCAAGGCTCTGACGAGTTACAGAGAAGAGGGTTTGGATTGCTAAAACATTGATAATGATCTGATTTCCATTCCTCCTCTCTCCTCCCTGTTGCGTCAGCTATAAAATCATGGTAATTCCGGTAATCCCAGTACCTACTTCATAATGCTGCTGTGAGCATTGAATGATAGTCACCCCATAGCGCTGAGCATGTTGCCTGGCACGTACAAAGCACTCAATGAATGTTAGCCAACCTGTTAATCAGTGCTGTGTGTCCCCTGCTCGAAGTTTAAAAAACGGTATGAGTCAAATGTCTCATATTGCCCTTTCTCAGAAAAAAGCTAACATTGCTTTTTAAATAGTTCTCAATTGATCCTACTGCCCCATGGCTACATACAGAGTACAGGTTCTCTACCATTTTCTGAAAATTTGAATCTTTGTAAGTTAAAAAATTAAGTGCTTGGTCATTGGGGGAAAATATATGCACATTTAGAAAGTTTAGAAGATGGTGGAGACTACAAAGTAAAAAAAAGTCCAGAATGCCCATCTCAGAACCCCTGAGACAACTTGCTGTTTGTGCATATTGTTTGGGTGTATTTCCATTCATACCAAGTGGAACCATTCATTTCTTTATCTGTCTACCTGATTGGGACCATGTTGCCACCTCTCATTCAAAATTATACTCTGAGCATTTCCACCATATCATTAAAGATTAAAAAAAGCCCTTTAATTTCTAGTATTTACTCATGCCTGCACCATTATTTATTTGGTCATTTTGTTGTTGGATATTTAGGTCAGGATATGAGCATTTAAAAAAAGATTTTGATGCATTTCGCTAATTTATTTTTCCCAAACAATTGCTGTTCATAGTGTTTATGTATGAATATTTCCATTTTTACCTCACCCTTAGCTTCATTGAATTTCATCATTTTTAATCTTTGCCAGTTTGATAATAGACACAAATAACATCTTATTATAATTCATACTATCTTTGGTAAAGTGTGACATTGAAAATGGCTTATATGATCAATCAGACCCTGGATTTTAAGTTTTAGGCATTTCATTCTAAAGTGTCCTGTCTCCGTGTAGGCTTCTTTAGAGTATGGTGTCGCTGGGCATTTCTACTAAGGATCACGGAGTATGTGTGTCAACATACCTGTTAGTTCTTTATTGGACTTGTTTAACGTTCTTGTGGGGCAGCGCTCTCCGTTCTTATTTCTACGGCACAATGTTGGCCAAGGTGACTCTTCGTTAGAGTGTGCAGACCTTGTCACTTATCTATGTATGTACATTGAATGTACTCATTTATCTAAATGTAGCTCAGAACTGCCAGTGCTGTGAGTGCCACTACTGTACCAGGAAGTGTTCATCAGTCTTTGACATGTGTGATCACTTTCCCTGAAAACAGAAATCTAACTTCTGCTCTGGCTCATGTAGTTTGCCTCCTGCCCGTACTTTTCTGAGCACTTGGACGCAGGCGAGTGTCCCATGCCTGCTGGTCTCTATTGTCATTGCTGTGAGAGCTGGATTATGTCAGCGCCAGGGTTTCCCCACACACGGCCCTGCAGCCACAGCTGCCCTGGTTTTCTCTGCACAAGTCCTGAGGAGATACAGGCTGCTGGCCTCTCCAGGTCCATCGTGGGGTCTCTGAGTACAATGTTTCTGTTCCTCCCCAGCCTGACGAATGGAGGGGCCTTTACAGAATGCAGGTTCCCTGTTTATCCTGCCTGCCTCTCGTGGCCTCATCCGCCTTTCCTTGGAGAATCTGTGTCTAGGCCACGTGCTGGAATGAGCCCCCCGATGAAGTTTGTCTGGTTTTTGTTAGCGCTTGTCTGCTAGTTTTAGCCAGGTGGGGACATGAATTCTTTCTCTGCTGTTGCCTTATCAGATCCTACTTGACTCCTTAGTTCACTGCACTGACTCTTCCCTCTTAACCAAATGAAAATTCGCTCTGCCATCAAGCCCCTGACATTCTGTAGCCTCCATGAAGTGTGTCTATCACATCTCACTTTTCTTCGCACCTGCAGGGGTTTCCAGGTGTCAGGGCTTATTGGACTGTGAAACTGTTTCTGAGAAGGCCACTGCATAAAGTAGTGTGTTGCATTGTGTACAGGACTTCTGTTTCCTGCTCTCGACACGGGCTGGTGGCCTGGGCATCAACTTGGCTTCAGCGGACACCGTTGTGATCTTTGACTCTGACTGGAACCCCCAGAACGACTTGCAGGCACAAGCCCGAGCCCATAGAATTGGTCAGAAGAAGCAGGTCAGTGGGGAGAGGCTCCTGGGGATGGCTTGGGGAGGAGGGAGAGGTTAATCAGGCCTTTTGGGGTGTTTTGTAAGATGCTTTTTCCTGTTTAGCTTCATTTCCCAAGGGGAGGTGTCTGCTTGTTAATTAGTGCAGAGAAGCTGTCTTTGGGGCTGAGATGAGCCTATTATGGATCTATTCTCTCTCGCTGTTTAAAAAGTGCTTTACCAGTAACTTTCTTGTTTAAGAAAGGTAGATAATAAACAGACCCAGAACCGAACATCTTCCTTTTTAATATTGAAAAGTTGGTAAATATTCTAACATTGTTCAAGATGGTCTACTTTTGTTACATTGACTAATCCCAGCTCTGAGGTATGTTGGGAAAATACACGCTTACTTCCTTTGTATGTGAATCTCAAAGTTAGCACTACTGGGGGTAATGGAAGATCCAGTGTTGGTGAAATGGATTATTATGTAGTAAGATTTTTGTTATTAGAACAAGGCTATATAAAAATTCCTCAAAGGCAGTTTTATTTAAGAACGTAACCTGCTGCAGATAGTAAAAATATTGCATCTACTTAAGCTGTCTGCGTGGATGGGTGTCTCACAGTCCATTATGGTACTAGAGAGCTGATCTTCTCTCATTTCCCCTCCTGCTTTTAGACAGAGGTAACCTTTTTTGTGTGTGATCAGGCATACCCACGATATTGCCTTTTCCTGCAGGTAAATATTTACCGCTTGGTTACAAAGGGGACTGTGGAGGAAGAGATCATAGAACGGGCCAAAAAGAAGATGGTATTGGACCATCTGGTCATTCAGCGCATGGACACCACTGGCCGGACGGTCCTGGAAAACAACTCGGGAAGGTCCAAGTAAGTGCCAGCTGGTGGAGAGGCAGCAGCATCGACCTGACTTCACATCCACACTTGGTACAATTTACTCTTCTAATAGGATTTTGTGCAACAGACATTAGGCCTTTAATTACCTGGAAAAGGCCAAGCTGAGACTGCAAGGAAATAGCTTTTTCATTTTATTTTGTTGTTCCTATTTATTATTTTATTTATCAGCCCTTCGCTTACTTGCACTCACTTGAGCTTGCTTGCTCTCTCTCCCCTCCCCCCTTGCCCCCTCCTGGTCCTCCTTCCCCCCTCTCTCCTACCCCTCTCTTGCCTTGTGCATTTGGCTCTACGTGTGACGTGTGACGCAGCAGCAATAGCAGCTGTGTGCTCTCCATTGGGCTTTCATCCTGACACAGCGTTGCCTTGTACTTTTCAGCAGTGCAAATCCACCAGAGTGCATTAGCTGCTGTTTTCTTACTATTGATAAAAATGTTTATGGAGAGATGGTTATTTTTCCTATTGGAACAGAAGGAAGTTGCTCAGGTTTTGATTGGCTTTGTTTGGAAGCACAGCTATTAAAGAATTTACATTTTGACTGCATGGTCAAGTGTGTTCTGTGGTGGTCTTGTAGCTTTGTTACTGGTAGAGTCAAGTGAGCTCTTTCTAAATAGGATATTTCCAGATAATTTTCCATTAGAGAGCAACTGAGGTAGAAGCAGCTTGGCTCTTTTATTTTGCCCCACAGGTGAGGAGGTTGAGAATTCTTGGCAAATGGTACCTTTCTGTGTCCAAGGACTAAGAGAGAACTCTCTTCTGATTCATTTTGCTAATTACCCGCCTCTCTTAACCACGTGATAGATGAGCCAGCAGGGAAAGAATTGATTTTCTAGTCTTCTGTGGGGTCAGGTTTACCACCAGACTCATCCTGTGGATAAAACATGAACTATTTGAGAGCATTTTTCTTATGACAGATTGTATATTTTCACCAGTAATTCGACCCCCAAACAGAGGGTAGATATGTAGTAGAGCTTCCTTGACATTCCTAAGAGATTACAACTGCGTTTTACTTTTACAGTTCCAATCCCTTTAATAAAGAAGAGCTGACAGCTATTTTGAAATTTGGAGCAGAGGATCTTTTCAAAGAACTTGAAGGGGAGGAGTCGGAGCCTCAGGTAATTAACAATGAGGAAAAAACGGTTTTGACAGGTATCGTTTGTGAGATAAATTTTTGTGGAAGCAGATCCTGAGTCTGTTACAAGCTTCTCTCAAGCAGCAATTATTGGAAGGATGTAGGTCTTTTTGTTTTTTCTAATAAAGTGCAAAGCTCTTACTAAATTGAATTGGAAAGAGTGAGAAAAGAGCATTTGCGGATTCTGTCTTTTGTCTTTTTTATTCCAATTTCATTTCTTATAATTTCTGAAGTTTCACCTTATTTGTATAACAGTTTGAAATGTTAGATATAAATGACATGAAGTCGAGACTGTAAAAGGAAATTAAAAATGGAATATCAGAGAAGCGAGCTGGTTTATTTGCACCAAACGTTGTCAGTGTGGGCTGACCCCTGTTGCCTTTTCACCATGGCTGTGTCGCTGTTCATCTCTTAGGAAATGGACATAGATGAGATCCTGCGCTTGGCTGAAACCAGAGAAAACGAGGTGTCCACAAGTGCGACAGATGAGCTGCTTTCACAATTTAAGGTATAAAAATCCTGTGGGAGAACGTCCTTAGCGTTGATTCACTGACAGATGATAACTGATGCCTGCTAGTACTTTCCGGGTGCCGGGTGCTCTGCTTGCCCCTCTACATAAGTTGATTCGTGTCCTCGGTACCATTCTTGAGTGCCAGTCAGGTTCCGAGTGCAGAATCTGTGGTCCTCCCCACGCAAGTAACCGCTCAAGTGCTCCATCCTGCCCAGTCGGGGCTGGGGGAAGGAAGCCTGTGAAGAGGGCTGAGGGTGTGGTGTCAGGCGGCGAGGTGGTGACCCAGGTGGTGTGGAGCTTGGGGGTGTGTGTGTGTGTAGTGCTTGTGGGAGAGAGAATAGAATCATGACAGTGCACAGGCGTAAAAACAGAAGGTGATGGGAAGCTCTTTGATGACCTGGCGGGATTTTTTTAAGGGTGATTACAGGGTGGTCAGTGGCATCTGATATAACAGAAAATTAAGTGAGATCAGGACTGAGTGCCGAAGCTGGGCACCAACATTGAACTATTGAAAAGCTAGTGAAGGGGAGAGCGAGGGTAATTTATGTGAAGAGGGTCAAGCAAAGCAAGATTGGTTTTTTAAGATGTTCCCGTGTTTCTAGGTTGAGGAGGGAATGTGGGAATAGCGAGCCGTTGGAGGTTCTCAGGAAAGGAGCAGCATTTGATGGCGCCTTTCCTTGGAGGGGACTGGAAGGGGTAACATCAAAAGCACTAGTGGAGGAGTTGGCCTTCGAAGGAACAGGGAAAGTACCCTTCAGGGAGAGGAGATGTGGGAGTCCCATTGGCGACCTTAATTACCGGGAAAATAGATGAGTTTGCTGAGAGGTGGGAAGGATTTGGTCCAGTCCAGGTGGGACCGGGGGTTGCTGGAGGAACTTGATAGTGAGCAGAGCTGAATTTAGAAAATAGCGCTTCATGTTGGAGCCAGTCAACAGGGTCATATGACTTTCCCTAGCAGTCCTTGAGGTTGGAGAAATTGGATCAGTTGGTAATCCCAAGGTGGGAGGCTGGCTTGCGAGGCATGGGAGAGTGTAAGTGGCAAAGGCTGCCCGGTTTCCAGTGAGAGCGTGGTAGAAAGGCCTGACCTCGGCTGGTGTCCTGCAGGTTAGAGAGCAGGTGACAGTGGTGGTGAAGTGTGGTAGACCCATTAGGATTGAGCGGGAGCTGGGTGAGCCGTTGGGAAGAAGCAGCACGTAACGTGTCAAGGTCGGCCACAGGTAGATGTCCCGGTGGAGGAACAGGGAAGGAGGGGAGAGGGTGGGTCAACGCGCTCTAGGGTCATTGTTCGTGTGTCTGAGCACGGCGGGGAATTACTAGTGTTTCCGTTGCTCCCACTTCTGTGGCTACTGCTCCCTTCTCAAACGGAAGGAATCGCCCTGGTGCTGTCTTGGTCAGAATATCATGAGTCTTAAGTCACATTACTGGTGACACTTGCCTTTCTGAGACCCTTCTGGCAATTATGTTTCAGTGCCTGGCCGGTGATTTGGTTGAATCAGGAGTCTGCTTACTCTGCTTGTTCTGGAGGGCTTCACCGAATCGATTTCATTTTCTGAATCCTTTTTTTCATTACCCTGTTTTAACATGTTGGAAACAAACGTTTTTTGAGATAATTTGAGATTTCCATTTTCTGAAGTAATAATAACCAGCATCTGTGTAAATGTACACTTGTATAGTACATCATGTGTATTAACATATATTTCAGCTAAACTTGTAACACCTTGTGTGTCTGTGTGTTTCCCTGTTTTTTGGTAAAATTCCTGAGTGAACTAGAGAACTTGGCAAGTTGATTTCTGTGGGGTACGCGAGAGGTTGGTAGGAAATCGAGTCTGGTTATGTGATATCACAGGACTCCCCTGTGACTCCTAGCACCTCACTTAGATTAAAAACACTGTGCGAGTTGGGGTTTCGGTCGATGGTATTTGACATCTCCATCTGCATTTAGGTTGCCAACTTCGCCACAATGGAAGACGACGAAGAGCTGGAAGAGCGCCCTCACAGGGACTGGGACGAGATCATTCCAGAGGATCAAAGGAGGAGGGTTGAGGAGGAGGAGCGGCAGAAGGAGCTGGAAGAAATTTACATGCTGCCTCGAATTCGGAGCTCGACTAAAAAGGTGACCAAGTGAGACGAAAGATGTGAGCCTCTTCCTCAGGCTCTGACGGGTGCAGGGGTGCTGGTTGTTCAAGGAAGGAGCCTGGCGTTGCTGCCTGACTGGGGGCGGGGATCCCGGGCAGAGTCCTGGGAGACGCAGCTGAGGACCAGGGGAAATGCCCAGGGCTCACGGGCATGCGGGAGGCATCTCGCCTCTGCTCACTGGCTCGGAGAGGTGGCTGAATGGGGTTGGAGTTTTAAGAGATTATAGAACTGTACTTAACAGTTTACAAGCCACCCCAGTCACTGTCACATTTGATTTTTGCAATAACATCGAAGAAGGTAGTTACTACCCAGTTTGTTGGAGATAACAGACCCAAGTTTCTCCAAGATCTGAGTGAATCATTATTAGCTAGTAGTAGCTACTTCACTGAGGACTCACTGTGCGCCGGACAAGGCTGGTGCACTTACCCTTAGAGACTCTAATTCTTATGACAACCCTGATTATAGGCACTGTTGTCCCTACTTTATAAATAGCAAACAAAGGCACCAAGAAGTAACTTGTCCAATGAAGTGAACATAACCTACAATCCAAATACTTCTGTTCGTTTGCTTCTGAGGGTACACAGTTCACACTTCTCTGGAGGTGTGACTGTCCCTGTCAGACCTGCTTTCATTATGTGACATTTTCCTCCTCCTCAAAGAAAAAGGAACTTGTCTGATGCGACGAGAAGTTCTGAGTCCCAAAGATTGAAGAGGGGCTGGTCTTAGTCCTTTGACCGCTTGCTCCTGGCACTGGTGACAATGTGACTTTGACATTTCAGGCCCAGACAAACGACAGTGACTCTGACACCGAGTCTAAGAGGCAGGCCCAGAGGTCCTCTGCCTCTGAGAGCGAGACGGACGACTCCGATGATGACAAGAAGCCAAAGCGCAGAGGGCGCCCTCGGAGTGTGCGGAAGGACCTCGTGGAAGGATTTACGGACGCGGAGATCCGCAGGTGAGTGGAGGCCCTGCTCTTACTCGCTGGGCCTTGTTTGGAAGGGATGCTGTCAGGTTGGCGCTTAAGACAGGGAGGGCAAGAGACACCGAGCCACACACCATTCCAGAAATGCTCCTGCATCTCCATACTATTTTGATGTAAAATCCCAAATGTCATATTATTTCAGATGTAAACTATTTCAGTGTATATTAAGGAGAAATGTAGAGCTGAGGCATGATCCTCAGGTTCACTTCACATGTAACACTGTCCTAATCCTGAACCCACGCTGTTCCTTTCACATTGTTTCTTAGCTCTTGTCACATTCATTCCCCTTCTCTTCAATTGCCATGCCCTCCCTCCAGTTTTCTGCCCCATAGTATCTCTCCTTGGACTCTTCCCTAACTAGATTACTTTAGTGACTAGCGTGCCACATCCCAGTGAGGCTCTTGACGTGTTGTGACATCTTGTGCTTTATCGCCGGTGCTAGTGGTTAGCTGCAGGGAGGGGAGCAGGTGGTGCACGGACTGGCGGACAGCTTGGTTTAGGGTGGAGACTTGTAGAGGGTAGGTTGGAGTTTTGGTTGGAGATGAGGTTGGACAGAAGTCAGCACAATTCCCAAAACAGTTTTGCCTGAGAAGCTTTAAATCATATATTTATTTTTCTTCACCTCATTCCCAGTAATATTTGAGACAGTCCTAAAAATCATATAGTTGTGTTATTGATCATATAGAAAATGATGGAAGATACTGCAGCATGAAATGGAAAGTAACAGTAGTGGACTGAACAGACCAGTTAACTACTTGGGGATTTTGATTTCCAGGGTTGTGGTGGTTGCAAAGGCATTCAGCATCCAAAGACCTGTTGTAAGGATTGTGTCCAGCCTATTTTTGACAGTTTACATGGCTTATATTTAACACAGGATGTGTTTGCACCAGCATAGCTAAGGTCTCTGTTTTTCACTGTGTTTTATTGCTCATCTCCCTCAGGTTCATCAAGGCGTATAAGAAGTTTGGGCTCCCTCTTGAACGGTAAGCTTAGCAATAGTTCCTTATCTGCCTGTCTTGCGCTTTCATGATGTGGCGGCTTCTTTTTTTGGTGCTGTTTCCATTTAAGGCCTGGCTCCTTTTGACAGCCTGGTTTTTAGACATTAATGTATTCATACACCCCATATGACTTAGAGATCAACAAAACAGATCGTAGAAGTAACTCTTTCTGGGAACATTGTGATGAATGAAAGTCGGCTGGAGAAAGGAAAGTGAGCACCAAAGAAGCAGACCTAGGGCCATACTGTTCTCGGGCACTGACCTGCTACTGTTGTTAGACAGCCCATTTAATTAACAGAGATTGTCTTCCGAGATTACTTTATGGACTGTTCCAAGGCACAGTTCTTTAGGATGGAAAGGGAGTGATTTAGCCTCTGTCAGTGTCACAGGGTTCTTGCTGATAGAGGAATGTAGAGCAGAGTGTCCTTGCAGGAGCAGACTTGTGCGAGACCCAGTGGTATTTCACTTGACAGTAGGAAACTGGGCACCAGGCCCTGAAGTGACCTGTATTTGTCTGTCCCCAGGCTAGAGTGCATAGCGCGCGACGCGGAGCTCGTAGATAAGTCGGTGGCAGATCTGAAGCGCCTTGGTGAACTGATTCACAACAGCTGCGTGTCGGCCATGCAGGAGTATGAGGAGCAGCTCAAGGAGAACGCCGGCGAGGGTAAGTCAGCTGTCCGGCCAGGCCTCGGGAGCGTGGGCCTGCGCCCCATGCACCCCGAGCGTCCCGAGTATCCCGAGTCCTTTGAGCTGCGTGTTCTCTTCTGCCTTTTCGTGAGTTCAGCGTTGTAAGATTTCCAAAGATTTCCTCGCAAGGGACGTTGATTTGTAGGAGGTGCAGCGAGCGTGATGAACAAGATGAGTGTTTTCTTTTTATGTTGTTACGGAAACTTTAGCTGGTTGGACATAGAGACCCGAATGGGCAAAGCTAGACACGTCAGTATTTTGACTATGAAAGAGGAGGTCAGAGACCAAAAGTATCAGTAATGGTCTTAGATGTACATGTGCGTGCTTTTTGTTGTGACAGACTTAAAGGGGTTAGAGAATTCATTGGTGTAAAATACTGGATGACTATTGTAAACATTTCTGTTATGCTGAGATTTTCATAGCACTAGAATGTTTTGTAATTGAATTTGACCTATAGTTTTTCTCTTACACACCAGAAAGTGTTTGAGCTCTGATATCCTTATGGTTAAAGGACCCCCTCATAGTGGAACCTCAAACAAAAAGACGAGGGTGTTGTCATTGCAGTTCCTTGGCGCCAGTTCCTCCATTCTCTTGTCCCCTTGCACTGCTCACTGGTGGGTCTTTCAGCTGCGGTCAGTGTTCTGGCCCTGGCGGTAGCCAGTTTATGTGGAATCCGAGTTCTGCTGAGTCTTAGCTGTAAGACCCAAGACAAATGGTAACCTTTCAGCAGTCTCATTTGGAAAACGGCATAATAGTACCTGCCTCGGAGGGCTGGATGAGACCTTGAGCGATTCCGTACATGTGAAGTGCTCAGCTTAGGGTCCAGCCTGCAGCATCAGCTGCTATCATTAAGTAAAGAAGTATTTGTGCTTTGGGATTTTCTTCTCAAGGATATTATTGAAGTAATAAATTTAAAAAATATCTTAAACACAGTAAACATTTTTTTAGATGTAATTTCTTTTTTGTAAAAGAAGCTTCAGTTACTTGAGTGATTTGGACAATGACCCGAATATGTTTTGTAGCACCCAGAAGAAATTCAGAAGTGAACCTTAAGTTCACAGTGGTTTTCTCTATTCCCAGGATATAAAGGAATTCACTATAACTTTCCCCCCCTTGTACTTAAGCGTGATTTCATTTATTTTTATATTTCTGATACACCTGGAGTTTTTCCTGGTGTATCCAGTTTTATTTTTTCTATGTGGCTACTGTATGTCTCACCACCATTCATTAAAATGGTTCCTCTTTCCTGCACTGCCCGATTATATTAAGAGCTTCCTAATCTGTTATGGTGATGCAGTATTTGTGTCCCGTTAATGGACATTCAGCTTCACAGTGTTGTAAATAATCCTGCTGCATGTATCCCATTTTACGCCATCCCGTCCCACCAGCACTGAATGAGAATGCCTGTTTTCTCTTAGTCTCATCAACATAGTATTTTCAATTTTATTTTTCCCAGCCTGCTAGGGTAAAAGCAGCATGTGTATATACTTAATTTGCATTTCTCCTGTCACAAGTGAGGTTGAGTATCTTTCATATGTTTAGGAACCTCTAGAATTGCCTTTTTTTGAGAATTGTGTCTTTATCCTTTGTCTGTTTTTTTCATTGTTGTCCAGGAATCTGAGACCCAGACAAGTTAATAACTAAAAGTGAGAGGGGAGAAGGGAGGGTTTGTGCAGATTTGGGAATAAATTCCAGATTTCTGATTTTCAGAGCAGGGCCTTTCCCTTTACCATCTTCTGTTCCAGCTCCCTTCAGTGCTGCTGGGCATAGCATTTGAAGTGAAATCCTCGTGGATACAAAAGAATCCCTAAGTGACTGTGATTGTGGTGCCATTTCATCGATTTACATGTTTCAAATAAAACTAGACCTTCTCTTGTATTCTGAGTCCCTTTCCTCTCACAGACAAGTGTTGTTCGTGGATTTCAACTTGGGCCCTGGTTAGAGTGGACTCGGTTTTATTTTTACTTCTGGGATTGTTTTAATTGGAAACGAAGGTTAAGGTAACTTTTCTGTGGCATCTTTAGCTCAGTAGAGATCACCTTTAGAACACTTTTTGAAAAATCCTGTTAATGGAATAGTTTGAAAAGCAAAAGGAAAATCTCTAGCACTAATTCCTTCAGAATCTTCTTTTGTTAATTTTATTAATTTTGGAACTGAAGTATAAAACAAACAGTAAGATTAAGATATAATTGTAAACATAAATGGATAAAAAAGTTCTAAATTGAGACAGTCTTTTTCCCTTATGGGTTGTATCTTTGGTTAACAATAGGGCAGAGGGAGAGAGCATTCAGGGTTTGATAACGTGTCTTTTGTGAAACTTCAGCAAATTCTAATTTAACTAATGTGAAATCACTCTTCTTTAGGGAAGGGACCAGGGAAAAAGAGAGGCCCAACAATCAAGATATCTGGGGTTCAGGTGAATGTGAAGTCCATTATCCAACACGAAGAAGAGTTTGAGATGCTGCATAAATCCATCCCCTTGGACCCAGAAGAAAAAAAAAAGTAAGTGTGTTACATGCGTGCTCTGGGATGGTCGTGCCAGAGGAAAATAGACTTGAGGTTACAGTTACGTGTAGTTATGGAGTGTTTTCATTGTCATTTCTTTAATGAGATCTTTTTAAAAAAAATGTTTTATTGATTTTTTAGATGGAGGGAGAGAGAGATAGAAACATCAATGATGAGAGAGTCATTGATCGGCTGCCTCCTGCACACCCCCTCCTGGGGATTCCGGAGCCCGCAACCCAGGCATGTGCCCTGACCAGGAATCGAACTGTGTGTGACCTCCTGGGTCATGGGTTGATGCTCAACCACTGAGCCACACTGGCTGGCCTGTTGTTTCTTTAACATAGTAGAATACTTTGCCCGTGTTCTTTTGTGTTCATTTCCAAATCAGAAAGGCCCCTCTGACTTTCCCGTTTTTGAAATCCCTGTAGATACTGCTTAACCTGTCGTGTCAAAGCTGCGCATTTTGATGTCGAGTGGGGCGTGGAGGACGATTCGCGCCTCCTGCTGGGGATTTATGAGCATGGCTATGGAAACTGGGAGCTAATTAAAACAGATCCAGAGCTAAAGTTAACTGACAAAGTAAGTAACTCTGTGATGCTGGAGATTTCTAGATGACTTCTTGCATAATATTTTATATCAATTACGTATTTTTAACTTTTCGGGGGTGGGTGGGGATCAACTTGGAAATTAGTACAATAGCAAATTCCTGGGATTTCTTTATCCTTGGAAATGTTACTGTCTTTAGTGGACTGTGACACCATGTCATAGATGAAGGTGATAGCCAGGTAAAAGTTTTGGGAAATTACAGGAGAAATCTTACGAGGTCTCATTGCAACAAATACCAGGGTAAGATGGTTAATAGATCATTGCTCGGCCTTAGTTGTTGCCCCTTTGTCTGTAATTGTATTTGAAACAACCGTATTTCAGTCCTATACGCAAAGAAGGAATGAGCCACCTTGGTGTTTTTTGCAATGAAACTAAATGTTGGCCGTACTCCTCCCACAGATCGAGCCTCCCACCCTATCGGTTGCAAAGCGGGCTACCAGGTAGTAAGGCCGTGCTCAGAGCTGTAAGCAGGGAAAGCTGGCTCACTGGCTCAAATTTCAGTAGGATGTGCTCCACGTGGTGCTCCTGGCAGGGCTTTTCCTGGCACATCAAACACTGCTCATCCCACACGCAATGTCCTAAGAGGGTGACAGCACCCTGCCATAAGCACTGAGACCAAATCCATTCTGGCCTGAGAGGTCTAACCGTGGTAGCAGGGACAGATCCTGTCCGGGCATAGCTCAGTGCTCTCCGGCAATGCTCTAAGAAGCATTTTCAATCTAAAACGAAGCTTTAACCTAGCTCCAGGGATTCCCTGCTCCTGGAAGGAGGAAATCCACGACGGCTGGGATGTTCTAGCAGATGAAGCCAACAAGCCCCTCCTACCTGAGTTGTTCTACCCTGTTAACAGCACAGGTAGGAGCCAGTGGGAGAGCTGGATTTCTCCATCCCATTTTGTAAAACGAGAACGGCTCATAAGGGATTTTCAGTGACTGGGAGCCATGGACATGAGATAGGAGCTGAGGCTGTGTCTGTATTTGGGGCGGGTGGGGAGGGAAAGGACTGCTCAGTTCTTTGTTGTCTCCGTGTATCCTGATCCACTAACCGGGACGTGGGTGGTGGCGGGTGCTTCTCTTCCTTTCCTGTTGAAGATTCTGCCTGTGGAGTCAGATAAAAAGCCTCAGGGGAAGCAGCTGCAGACCCGAGCGGACTATTTGCTGAAGCTGCTCAGGAAGAGCCTGGAGAAGAAGGGGACCGTGCCGGGCGGGGAAGCGGTGAGTGTGGCTGCTGGCTGTGCGTCCTTCGGGCCTTGAGGCCCAGCCCACAGGTCAGGGAGGAGAGGTGCCCGCTGCGGTCATGGCCCAGAACTGCAGCTTCCCTAGTCACATGCTGTTTTTGAGGCTTGAGTCGTGATGGCTGGTTGGTGATACTAGCAGTGTTCACTTAATTGCTGACCTAAGCATCTTGGCAACTTGCTTCCAACATGGCCTCAAAATAGTCTTCCACACTCTCCGGGCCACATGGTCTGGACTTAAAGCTGCTGTTGCTGCTGCCCGAGTTTTGGGACATCATTCCCAGTAACTGTCTGAGTGCCACTGGCTTTGCCCATTGTTACAGCTCACTCCGGGCTACTTGCAATAACGGGCCTGGGGTAAAACGGATAGTCGGAGTCAGCGGGGCTTCAGTTCCGACCCCCTTACCTGCTCTGTGAAAAGTGCCGAGAGCTGCTGACGAGCTCATGTGAGCTGTAGCTCCTTTTATTTTCCCACCTTGCCATTTCAGTCGAGGCCTAGAAAGGTGGCAGTCACAGTTAGATGTGATGAGCCGCATCCGGTGCTAGCAGCCTGTGTGTGTGGGTGTGTGTTCCCTACGTACCCTTGGAGCGACGCCATTCATATTAATTCCCCTGATTATAAACAAAATGAGTTTCAGAGGAAGAAGTTATCCCAATCCCATACCTCATCCCTTTCATGCAATCAGATCACATAAGTATGCCGCTCTCCAGGTGATATGTTGAGTGACACTGTAAGTTACGCTCTGGGAGACAGGTCAGACCATTGATGCACGTGAGATCTGATTGAGTAGAGAAACACTGTTTCCTTATTTTTAGATACCACGTGCTTCTGTTTTTTTTAATGTCACCATTATTGTCTTTTACATACTGTCTTTATTTGTATTTTTGTGAACATAAGGTGTTTCTCCTTCATTTGGATTACACCTTCAGGATGAATTCCAAAACACAGGATCCGTAGGTTCGAGGCTGTGGGCGTTTTGCGCACGCAGGGCATGCAGCCCTCCCTCCCAGGAGCGTCGATTGCGCTCCTTTGAATCTCCTTGTTTGAGTTATGTGGCTGCTGCGTGTCAGAGGCGTCGTGTTGTTTGACCCTGCTTTTCAGGGACTTGGTTTGTAGTGTTACCGTCATTTGCTCTCCCTTTTCCAGGCCAAACTGAAGAAGCGGAAGCCGCGCGTAAAGAAGGAGAACCAAGTGCCAAGGCTGAAGGAGGAGCACGGGCTTGACTTCTCACCCCCCAGGCACTCGGACAACCCGTCCGAGGAGGGCGAGGTCAAGGTGTGAGGCTGCGTTCAGTGCAGGGCTGTCATTTAAGCTCCGCTTACTGGGCCAGTTGGTTTAAAATGCTTCAGAACCTGTTTGGCTTGCATGTGGAGGAGACAAAGTAGAACGTATATGTCTCTGCCTAGCCTGAGAGGAACGGAGCTCTTTTAAGTCGGGCATTGCACATTCACAGGAAATGGAAGTAAATGGAGAGCACCGAGGGCGTTCAGTGCTAAATACCCACTGACAGCCTCCTTGTTCGGAAGGATAGGGACTGGTGGGGACCTAACCGGGGAGCTCACGTATGGGGACAGCCGCAACACAGTACAATTAGTTGTTGGGCCAAACAAAACTCATCCGTGGGTCAGGTCTGGGCCGAGGCCTGTCACTTTGTAACCTCTGGTTAAGCCAAGTGGAAAGGAAACCAGCTCCCTTCAGTGTGTTGTTTCCGTGAGTGACAGCTTCACGGGATTTTATCTTGCTGCTCTTCCAGTGTAACTGGGCTTTGAGATCAGCTCCAAGGGGATCAGCAGTGGGTGCAGGAAGAGCAGGGATTTGAATTCAGACCTTAGCAGCCTCACCGGCTCCTAGCTGACAGCCCGTAGCCTCTGGTCCTCAGTCTGTCTGTGAAATGGGAACAGGAATGCCAGTGTCCAAGGGTTGCTGTGAGGATCAGGGAGAAGATCGAAGTGAAGTCCCCGTGGGCCTAACTGGCTGTCCCCAGGCTTTGGGGCTACATCAGGCTCTGTGGCTGCCACTTGGGAGCATGCCCCTTGGTGCAGATGCTGGGATGGGCCGGGGCTGGCGCCTTTCTCCGGGAAGTAAATGGGTCGGTGTGGCCCCCATGGCCTTGCCTCAAAGCCCCGTTTGCCTTTTAGGATGATGGCTTAGAAAAAAGCCCGATGAAGAAGAAGCAGAAGAAGAAGGAGAACAAAGAGAACAAGGAGAAGCAGCTGAGCTCCAGGAAGGATAGAGGGGACGGTGACAAGGACAGGAGGCGGCCCAGAGAGAAAAAAGAGAAGGTACCTGTTGCTACACCGAGGGCCGCCACCGCCTCCCCTCCAGGGTTCAGGAACTCAGGACCGGTCAGGGCCTGAGCCGTCGCCTCTTTAGGGGTACCTCCGAGAAGGCAGGCGGGGCGGGCGCCGTCGGGTGCGGCCCGCACCTCTCCCTGCAGAGGGGAGCATGCGCAGTGGGGCCGTTCTTTCATGTCCAAGGCCCTTGCACCTTTGTTATGTATTTCAGAGGGGATGTTGGAGTGAGAGGACAGGTGAGGGGAGTCTGAGTTTACAGGTAACTCCTTGAGATAACGTTCTCACATTCCTGATAGACAAGCACAATCCACAGATGAATTTGAATCCTTGAAGGGTTTAGGATTCAAACCAATACCACCAAGAGTTAAGTGTTTGGAATAGAATCGGGTGGAAAGCCCTGCTGTTACATAACCTTCCCTTCTGGGTTTTTATGAAGCTCATTCCAAACCACAGGATTCTGGTACAGTGTTGCATGTATGCTCGCTGCCTTCTAATGAAAGTGCTTCACAGTTAGTCCCAATCATTGTTAAAACATACAAATAAACGTTGTACTTCTGTGTAGTCATAACTCTAGATTGCTTGCTGAATACCTTTGGAACTTTTGTCTTAAGCATATGAGAACAAATATAAAATAAATATCAGACCAGACTTTGAGAAGCCTTTCCTCCCCACTTAGCAGTGTCTCACAGAGAGCTTTCCAAATGAATCAATAACATGTTAATAACATTTTTTAGAAAAGGCACCTCTGGAGGCACAAATGCAAAGATACCTGTCACAGGATGGTTTATAATGTTAGAAATTTGGAAATAGTTTCAATCTGGGAGACGTAAACTGCTTCCAAGCTATTATAACCACACAGAATCTTCTTATCCTTTAAAAAATGTGAAATATTTAAAAAGTAGAAGAATAACGATTTAACAAACACCCATGTATCCACTACCTAGATATTATAGCTTCTTTTACTACGTATTATATAGTTACAAACAAAGCATAGTATTGTTTTATGTTTTTAAGTGTTCGTACGTGATGCCATTTGTATATATATTTATCTATGTATGTCTCCACTTCTCTGCAACTTTTCATGGAGAAATGATATTTATCTGCTTGGATTTATGCAGATTTCAATAATTTACAGTATTTCCGTTAATAAAAATTCTAAATCAAAGTGTACATTCGTTTATAAGCTGTTAATAAAAATTGCCACATAGTACTGCACCAGATTCTTCCAGTTTACAGTCTTAGCTTCTTGATGACGTTTTTGTGCATTTTATGGCTGAGGAAACAGAAGCCAAAAGAGCATCAATAAATCTAAAGTTAATATTGGGTCCAGAAAAAAAAAAAAAAAAATTGGGTCAGTTTGGAGACAGAAATGGGGATGGTGTGATTAGGCCGTGAATCATGTAGGTTTGGCTCCATGGTGTCCTGGAGGACTTTGTTTTACCTTTTTTATGGACTGAGGCTGTCATACTTACCTGCTGTAGTGATGTGACATAGGTACGAAGTCCAAATTGCAAGACAGGATTGCACAAGTGACACTGACTCCTTGTGACTCTCTTTTAAAAGCCTAAAGGTGGTGATGCCAAATCAAGTAAATGCAAGCGGACTCAGGGCCCTGTGCACATCACGGCAGGGAGTGAGCCTGTCCCCATCGGCGAGGATGAGGGCGACGATCTGGACCAGGAGACGTTCAGCATCGTAAGTCCCGACATCGATTCGGTGCCTGAAGCTCTGTCAAATCTGCATTTTTTTACAGCTCAGAATATAGAGTTGGAGCCCATGCTATCCCTTGCTCTACACCATGCAGTTTTCCCTCGTTGCCTCCCCAGAAGTGACCATGATTCTAAATCCGATGATCGTTCTCACAGGGGACTTTAGAGTTTTACTGCTTATGTTTCTAAAGACAATCATAAACAGCCCGGCATTGTTTATAGGCTTTCTGTGTATTTTCTCCACAATGATTCTGTCACATAGGTAATTACCTCCATTTTACATATTAAAAAATATGGGGGAGCCCGGCTTGCATGGCTCAGTGGTTGAAGTTCGATTCCCGGTCAGGGCACATGCCCGGGTTGTGGGCTCGATCCTCAGTAGGGGCCATGCAGGAGGCAGCTGATCAGTGACTCTCTCATCATTGATGCTTTTATCTCTCTCTCCCTCTCCCTTCCTCTCTCTGAAATCAGTAAAAACATAAAGATACAAAGAAGTAATAAGGTGGAGAGAGTTAAACTGGAACTTGTCCTGTGCCACAGAGTCATGATGTGGAGAGGCGATGTGACCTGGGCAGTTTGGCGGGAGAGTCTGGGTCCCAACCATCCTACACAGTCTCCGTGTGTCCATAACAGCATAGCTTGCTTTCTGCATTTAAAAGTGTTATGTAAATGCCACACTCACAGGTATTCTGTAACTTGCTTTTTTCTCCCTTTGCTCTGTTTTACAATTTCCACAACTTTGTTTTCTCCTATTGACAAACTTTGGGGTTTTCTCAGATGTTTGCCACTACGTGTACCTGTGGTGAAAGGGTGGATATTTTCTTGCTCACTGTGTACGGGATGCTCTAGAGCGCACAGCTTGAGCTGGAGCGCCGGGTGTTGCGTTGGGCATGCACGTCCAGCACTATATTAGATGGGGTAGAATTTCTCTTCATGGCCATTGCAGAGGTTTGTGCTCCCAGCAGGAACTCCTCGTGAGTTCAGATTGCTTTCCTGGGCTCGGAAATACTTGGTCATTTCTGACTTCTTAATTTTTGCCACTGTCCGAGGTATGAAATACCTCTGTTGTGATCATTTACTTTGCTCTTTGTTGGGCACTCATGTTTCCAGTGAATTGCCTGTTCCTGTTCTTTGCCTATTTGGGGTAATTTTATCTTCCCCTCCTGTTCTATAGGAATTCCTTGTACATTCATGATAGTAGTCTTTTTATCTGTTAGTCCTTACAAGTGTCTTCTAGTTTGTGGTATTTTAAAAATGTTGTCCTTTTTCTAAATTGAAGTACGACACTGAAAAACAGACAGGTTGTGCGTGCGTATGTATAGCTGTGGGAATTGCCACAAAGCAATGGAAGGTGCTGGGCTGGACGCTCATTGTTCGGAAGTGTCGTGATCATGTCACATGCCTTGTTCATTGTACTACCAGATACTCAATGGCTGACAGCCACGTCCTATAGGTTTTGTGATAATTTCCTCCTAAGTTCTTAGTTTTATCTTTATGGAACTCCTTGTTTTTGGATATTGGCCTTGGAAGTAGTTAGTCCCTGTTGCTGTCTTTGGATGGATTGGTAATCCTCAGCTGGCTTTTCTCATTGATCTGTTTCCTGCTGTCATGTCAGACCCTTCCTCAAATGGCTCTGCAGTCCTAGGTGGTCTGCTCCTATTTAAGAGTGGGGACTACCCCTCTGATTGGGGGCTGAGCGTGTGGGCGGGGCTTGATGGACCGAGAGAGTGCACTGCGAGGTGATCAGCTGGGCAGCCTCCCTGGGAAACTTCCAGGGGATTGTCAGCATCATTTGTTCTTCCTCTTGGGTGATCACAGTTTATGGAGGAAAATCTCTTATCTCCTGACCGGAAGGTGAAGGCCTGACTTTCTTCCTTCTGGAATTTGAGAGGCAGAAGACGGCCGTGGCCTATCCTGTATGTGTCTGTTCATACAGTTCTGTTCCCAGTGCTGTAACCTTGCCCTTAGCTGTGGTCGCACAACCAGCTCAGAGACCTTTCTTTCATTCTGGCAGAGAATAGACGTCCCTGTGTTTTATTGGGCACTGCTGGAGACCTGAGTATCTATTATGAGTCTGAGTATCTGTTATTCTTAGGCTGTTTAAAAATGTAGTCCTTATTTTGAGCCCTCACCGCTACTTCCAGAGACATATCTCTGGCCTTCGGGGGATTTTGCCATGTGAAGGAGGCCGTTCTTAGCTCTCTTGTCACTTCCCTTGCTGCCACTATTTTGTTGCTAGTCTCTCTCATTTTCCCTGTCTTTGTGGGCTTAGCTCTTAAGGCAGCCCTTTCCTGCCACTTTTAGCGGGCTAGGGTATGGGAGAAAAAGATTCTTGTGTTCAGTTCACCATCTTTATATGGAACCACTTCCCTTAGTTTTTCAAAAGCCTTAAGAATTTATAAATATATTATCCTGCACTTTGATCTAGTTTGTGATGGGAAGTTTTCAGGCTGGGTCTCTAATTTTGCTTCTCATTTGATCTTCACAAAGACCTTTCAGGATCCTCAAGCTCCTCTGGCAGATGAGGAGACAGGGTGGCCTTTTCAGAGGCGTCCGAAGGTGTCCAAGGTCATGGCTCTAAGTAGTGGTGCTGGACGTGCACCTTGGGTGTTCCTGACTCTGACATCACTACTTGTTCCGCTGGCTTTGCCGCCTCTCCCCTAGTGATTACAGGGCACCAGGGTGGGCTGTGCATGCTCAGGGAATTTAGGGCGCAGTAAGCAAGCGGGGGAGGCTTTTACTTGTGTGGATGTTTTATGTCTCTACCCTCTTGACCTGTTTCAGTGTAAGGAGAGGATGAGGCCCGTGAAAAAGGCACTGAAACAGCTGGACAAACCCGACAAGGGGCTCAATGTGCAAGAGCAGCTGGAGCACACCCGGAACTGCCTGCTTAAGATCGGAGACCGAATAGCTGAGTGCCTTAAAGCTTACTCAGACCAGGAGCACATCAAACTGTGGAGGAGGTAACCCATCTGCGCCTCCGGTTGCCTGGCTTGATTTGATAGAGGGCATGTGTGTTCTGTGTTTGCCTTGTAAAAGGTGACATGTCCACCTAATGAAACATTTTTTCCCCCACCAAAAGCCATCTTTTGGAAACATATCTGTAGGCTTCAGTTGTACTTTCCCGAAATGGGCCATTCCACTGAGACCCATTTTCTGAATGGGTTGGATGATGTTAATTTATTAGAGGGAGACAGTGAGACCGGCTTTGCTGGCCTGTTCTTAGAATAAAGATTCAGCCTTGCCCGGCCGGGCATGGCTCAGTGGTTGAGCGTCGACCTAGGATCCAGGCGATCAGGGTTCGATTCCTGGTCAGGGCACATGCCCGGGTTGTGGGCTCGATCAATGACTCTCTCATCGTTTCTATCTATCTCTCCCTCTCCTTTCCTCTCCCTGAAGTCAATAAAGATATATTTAAAAAAAAAAAAGATTCAGCCTTCAAGTGAAGGGATAGAGATCATCTAGTTTTATAACTTGACCCATCTGAGGTTGATATTCAAATATAATAACTAATTGGTTAGTTTTCTGCTAATACAGGAAGGGAAACAGGTTAAAGTCACCAAACTATGATAATTAAATGACTCGAGCAGTAATTTGATTGACACAGTTAATGCAGAACTTTAGTTTGTAAGTCATTGTGACTTACATATATTCATTCCCTTTTGAGATTATAAGAAAACACAACAAATTCTCAAAGACAACTGCAACGTTAATCTCTCCATGGTCCACAGTTACTGTGACCTCATATACTTTATGGTTAACGGAATTATCTTTGTGTCAGATGCCCAATATTGGTGGGTTGGTTTGAAAAAATGGTTTTAATAAAACCTTCTGTTGTGACACTATCCATAGAATGCTTCATGCTCATAAAAATTTTAAGTTTTAAAATGTCACCCTTCCCTTTTACACTGTTACCAACCTCCTGTCCCTAGCCATTGGCTTTCTTTTAATCCAACTCAGTCCCTATTGGACGGTAACAAAAGGTCATCCTAGTCCATAGAGCCTTAGGCTGGGCTCCTGCTGTGCATCATAGCCTGTCTGTGCAAATGCACCGGGCACTGTGGTCCCGGCTGGCAGTGGTCCATAGGAAGGTCCCTGCTCACTCCTGAGAAACTGTCCATTGTGAAGTGGTCACTGCAAGACTGCGTATAGTGGGAGTTCCTAGAAGGAGGAAGCGTGTGCAAAAGAGGTGGGCGTACTTGAACCCGCTATAGAAAAGCAGAGTGGATTTAGGCGAAGAGCCAGCAAAGGCTCAGAGTGGGCCAGTGAGGGGACTAGGAGGTTTGTAGGTTTTAAAGGCAGTTTGTTAAGATGACTGAAGTCCTGTTATAGAAGGCCTGAGAAAGGTAAATGGCTTCCTATGTGATGCAACAGTTGTACGAGTTCGGGAGCCAGTGCCGTGCTCTGTGAGTGTCAGAGCCTGGGGGTGAAACTTGCTCCCTAGAAAGTGTGAGCCTGTGAGGCTCCTTTTGCGGCTCACTGGGCGTGTCTGTGCCTCCTGTTCTAGACGCCTGTTCATCAGTCCCTCCCCTGTTGACAGGAATGCCCTGCTGGGCTCAGTGCAGTAGAATTCGGAGGGGAGGAGCCCCTCAGAGTTTTAAGGAAGAAACAACAGGCCTTGTTGGCATCTGGAAGGAAAGAAGGGTCAACCATGCAGAGATGCCCTACTGTATGTGGGTCCCAATCTGGGAGATGGTGGTGACGATGGGCTGCACAGCAGGGTCCAGGGGTGCGGAAGGTGGAGGAAGGCTAGGACCAAGTGCTGGTGCCAGTGCAGTAAACAGATTTTAGCTGGTCTCCACCTCAAATGCTGTTGACAATAGCACGTAATGACGTGTGATTGAGGGAAAGACCTATAACTTTCTGTTACTTGATTTCTACACTTGGAGAGTTTTGCCCAGTAACAGTTGATAGCTTCCATCAATCAAAGAAGAATAAAAAGTTATTTTTTAAATTCTATCATTCACCAGAACTGTGTTTTTCCTTTTTCTTTAAAGGAACCTATGGATTTTTGTTTCCAAGTTTACAGAATTCGATGCTCGAAAACTGCATAAGTTATACAAGATGGCTCATAAGAAAAGATCTCAAGAGGAGGAGGTAAAATATAAATATGCTCCCAACTCATTCAAACAGATAAACCCCCAGTTCCAGAGGAAAACCCCTGACCTGCTCTTTCCCCGGGGTAGTGATCAGAGAATCATGGGTTGTTGGTGTTAGAGGGGTTGCTGGGTCTCTGCCCTTACTTTACAGATAGAGGCGTGGGTCCAGGATGGGTAGGAGCCCCCCAAGGCCATCCTGCCTTGCCCCGTGCACCCTTTCTCCGTGGTAGCTGTGTAGTTTCTTGGCGCAACCCCCCAGGAGTTAACCTGAAGCCCCCATGGGAAAAAGCCAATACATTTAAACTAAATTCTTGGCTCTTTTAAACAGTTTTGAATTCTGATGAGGGGTTGTTACCCTGTGTTCTGTCCTGGACTCAGTTATTCAACAAGCCTTTTCTTTCATATGCATATCTCATTGTTACTTACAAATGTGGCTCCCGAGGGGTGACAGGATTGTGGGCAGAAAATACCTTTTCTGTTCTTTCCTGGCCATGTGAACTTGGTGTCCTTCCAGCTTCTGTCTATAGGGTCCCAGCTGCTCACGTGCAGGAGCAAGACCTGAGAAGGTGCCCAGAAGTTGCTTCCCCTTTGGGAGGGGCCGGGCACAGCAGTGACTTGGCCCATGTGCACGGCAGTGTTTCCTCCCCTTTGGGGGGAGGGCGGGCACAGCTGTGATTTGGCCCATGTGCAGGGCAGCGTTCCCTGGCAGATGTGCCCATGTGCTCGCACGGCCTGCGGGCCGGTCTGGGAGGTTCGCTGCCTCCTCTACTCTGTCCTTCTGCCGTGTCCTCAGCACCTGGAACAACCCTAGCACAGGGCAGGTGCTCAGAAGGACTTGGTACATGAACGCGTCCTGTGCCTGGCACTGTCGAGCTGGGGAGCAGTACCCTGAAATGACTACTTGTTTAATTTTCATGGAAGAATATGCTCCATAGCAGTGAATGTGGCGGGGATACATGAATGTTGCTGAACGTTAGCGTGAATCTTAAGCATTGTAAGAAGCCTTTGAGAGAACAGTCAGGAAAGGCCGCAGGAAGGAGTAGTTGGGAAGGAGTTGGGATGAGCATTGGAAGTTGGACATGGTGTAAAGGGCGTCATTAGTGTGGGTTTCAGACATCAGTGTAACCATAGCAGTGACCACACAGTGCGCTATACAGTGTCACAGCCTCTCTGGAGGATGGTTCAGGAAGACTTGCCCAGACTAAAACATACAGTTTTCCTTGTAAGAATTCAGTTTAAGGAGATAATTAAGGATGTAAATATGTTTGTAGTGGAAGTGACTGAACCTTCAACAGTAAGAAATAGATTAAATCACAATACGTCCATATTGGGGACTTATTCAATCATAATTATAAAATTGTGGAAATAAGCATTCCCATGAGATTTTCACAATATATTAAGAGAAAATATTACTAGGTAATATTTTCGTTTAATATATGTATATATATTAAAAAAGTCATAAAATGGCTTAGGCCCAGAGCAGATTATTTACATAATTTCCTTGTTGGTGAGATTTTAAGTCACTTTACACTTCTTTATTACTGGATTTTCTGATGTCTTGGTATCAGATATTTTGCTTGTGTGTAAAGTGGTATTATTCACACATTTAGATGTTTAGCTTGATGACTTTGGGATAGGAACTGGTTTTCACTGGACCAGTCGGGGGCTGTCTTTCCTAGTTAGTCTAAGCGGTGGTCCTGGTTTCACATGGGAGAGGAATCCCTTGAGAGCGCCGAGAGCCTGGGCACCTGTCTATGGCCCTCGCGGTGACATCCAGCAGCCTGTGCACATGTTCTTGCAGGTGCTTGTCAGTGCAGGTGGCCTAGTAGGTCAGGGCAGCAGGTGGCGCTCCAAGGGAGCTCGATGGAGCTGGCGAGATAGTTTAGGACAGAAGGTAGTAAATGGCAGGTCAGAACCTAGGGGACAGGAGGGAAGTGTTTGAATTGAAGGTGATGACCTTGGTACCAGTCCTGGGAATCAGCCTGGGATCTTGAGCCTCTGGTTTCCTTTTACTCCGTAGGAGCAGAAGAAGAAAGGTGACCTGATGGGTGGGAAGAAGCCGTTTCGCCCAGAGGCCTCTGGTTCAAGCCGGGATTCCTTGACGTCTCAGCCGCATGCCCCGCACAGCCTTCACCCGCAGAAGTCGCACTTGCCTTCCTCCCACGGCCCACAGGTGCATGGACACCCGAGAGACAACTACAACCACCCCAACAAGAGGCACTTCAGTAACGCAGGTAGGTCACTGACTGGACTTGTTAGAATTGGGGACAAAAGGAGAATCATTTTTTTCCCCAGAGGTGGCAGCTGGACCTTTGTGCTTTACCCTTAGCCATCACTTCATTGTCTTTTCTGAGCGAGAGGAAGCATGAAAGAAAAATCCAAAAGGACGTGCGGCCCTGGGTACTGTTGCTCAGTGGTTAGTATGCTGGCTGCAGACTGAAGGGTCCCGGGTTCGACTCTGACCAAGGGCACAGACCTCGGTTGCAGGCTCGATCCCCAGCCCTGGTTGGAGCATGTGCGGGAGGCAACCAAGCAATGTCTTTTTCACATCGATGCTTCTCTCTTGCTCTCCCTCCCCCTTCCACTCTCTCTGAAAAGCCTCGCTGCTAGGGAATGTAAATTAAAGCAGCAATAAGCTAATAACTCGTTCAGATCAGCAAAAATTAAAATGTGATACATACACCAGTTGCTGAGTGTAAATTGCTACATTCTTTCCAGAAAATAATCTGAAATATCTAACTACATAGGCTCTGCTTCCAGGAGCCTGTCCTATAGTGATAAAAACACCCAGGTCTCAGGACTATTCCAGCCTTATAATGGCAAAAACCGGGAAATAACTTGAGTGTCTGTTAATAGGGGAAAGGTTAGATGAATAATAGGACGTTTGTACTCTGATAATAATTATTATTAGTTAGAAAGAATGAGTTGGCTTTACAGATTAAAAAATGGAGGGAAAAAAGTAGCAGCTCACATAACAAAGTTAACCATTTTAAATGACCAATTTAGTGCCATTTAGTACATTCATAATGTTGTGCAACCACCACTTTTATCTAGTTCCAGAACATTTCCATTACCCCAAATGGAAATCACATGGCTACTGAGTTTCTCCCCATTTCCCCTCCTCTCAGCCCCTGTAGTCACCAATCTGTATTCTCTCTCCCTGAATTTACATATTCTGGATGCATTCTTATAAATGGAAATGTACAACATGTATCTGAATTCTTTCACTTGGTGCAATATTTTCAAGGTTCATCCATGTTGTAACTTGTCAACACTTCATTCCTGGCTGAATGTTCCATTGTGTGGATGCGCCACGTTTTGTTTATCCATTCATCAGTTCATGGGCATTTGGTTTTGTCTCTACTTTTAAAAAAAAAAAAAATCTTTATTGATTTCAGAGAGAGGAAGGGAGAGGAAGAGGGAGAGAGAGAAACATCAATGATGAGAGAGTCATTGATCGGCTGCCTCCTGCCCGCCCCCGACTAGGGATTGAGCTCACAACCTGGGCATGTGCCCTGACCAGGAATCGAACCATTACCGCCTGGATCCTAGGTCGATGCTCAACCACTGAGCCACGTCGGCTGGGCTTGTCTCTACTTTCTGGCTGTTGCAAATAATACTGCTGTGAGAAATTGTGTGCGAGTAGTTGAGTGCCTATTTTCAGTTCTTTTAGGTGTTTATCTAGGAGTAGAACTGATGGGTCGTTTGGTAATTCTGTGTTAAACTTAAGGAACCGCCAAACTATTTTCCATAGTAAGTTTTTGAATCCTGCGTTTGTGTAAGCAGAGAAAAAGATGTGACAGCATCCCCATGATAGCCGTTTCTCTGCTGGTACCTGTTTCTCCAGCAGTTGTCCTCAGCCCAGGAAAAGCCTGAATCCGCAGCCTCTTGCCTGAGCTCAGAATCACACATTTCCCCATGGCTGCCAGGGTCAGCCCACCCCTCCCTGCAATTTTCTGCTCTTTGGAATCTTACTCCTAGTCCTGATTGCCTTGGCTGCTCTTTGATGTCTTTAAGCAGGTGTTTTTTTTTTATCTGGCCTTTCTTAATATTCTTGGCAGCGTGTAATGCCTGCTGCAAGCTACCCAAAACTATGTGGAAGCAGAAGTTCGACATCTTCTGATCTTAAAAATCTAAATAGCTCCTGACTAGTTGATCTCTATTTTATTGAGTGGGGGGAAAGGTAATGACTCTTCAGGGTGGTTGGGAAATGTTTCCATGTGCTTATTATATTGGGTGTACTGACTTTCCTGGGATTGTGCTGGTTTTGTGTTACTTGTGTGATGTCACAGGTTTTATATTGGTCATCCTTTGAAAGAACTCCTGTTACTAAGCTAACCCTGAATTCTTCACCCATCTCCTTAGTAGCTCAGTACTTCTCCCCGATGACCTACCTCATGGAGGTTCCAGAGGAATCACTGTGTGATTTCTCCAGAAATGAATTGGACTTGGCTTGGGGTTAAGCATTTGCACTGTCCCACAGGCGTTGGCCCCTTTTTAAATCTTACTTTCTGTTTGGCTTAAAGCCATCTTCAGGTGCTCCTTTCACATTGTGCAGGTTTCTCAGTTTGTTGTTGTTTGTTAATGCTTCGGTAGAAGAGCTGAAGTTTTTTCTTCCCTGGCCTCACCCACTTGGCCTCACTGGATCAGCAGTGAATTTAAGTCTCTGGGTGACTGTACGTTATTTTAATGGCATATGTTTCTAAGCTGTGTAGTTTCCTTGATGGTGTTACTCTTTGGCTCTGTAGAAGAATGCTAGAAGACCAGCAAAATGAGTAGAGACATTTATTTGGCGGCATGTCTTTGGTCTTCACGTAGTTGCAGACAGAAGGTTGGATTTCCCGTGAAGCCACTAGTTCCTTATGGTTAAGTCTCTGTGCTAGTTTCCCTGGGCTGCTGTAACAAAGGACCACAAACTGCTGGCTTAATACAGAGAAATGTATCATCTCACAGTTCTGGAGGCCAGACCCTGAAATCAAGGTGTCAGCAGGTTGGTCCCTTCTGGAGGCTCTGAGGGAGAACCTGTTCCCTGCCTCTGTCCTGGCTCGCGGTGGCTGCCAGCCACTCCCGGCACCCTTGACTGGTGACTGTTTCACCCAATCTCTGCCTCCATCTCCACATCCCTTCCTCTGGGTGTCTCTTTGTCCCAGATCTCCCTCTGCCTTTCCCCAAAAAGGGTACCTGTCATTGGATTTAGGGCCCAACCTGAGTTCAAGATGATGTCATCGCAAAATCCTTAGTTACATCTGCAAAGGAGTTACATCACAAAGAGAAAGGTGGCGAATTTTCTTTTGTCTTAAAATTCAGGGGAAGGAATGTAAGGACTCATTGCTGGTATATTACCAGCAACAGAAAGGAGGAAATTTAACATCTGTTTATAACACATGCCAGCCCTTCGGTTAAGCGTTAGTGGAAGTGAAACATAGTCATTCCTTGCAGTCACGAGACCATGCTTTCTTCTGTAGATCGAGGCGACTGGCAGAGGGAAAGGAAGTTTAGCTACGGTGGCGGCAACAGCAATCCGCCATGGGGGAGCGACAGGCACCATCAGTATGAGCAGCACTGGTACAAGGACCATCACTATGGGGACCGGCGACACATGGACAGCCACCGTTCTGGGAGCTACCGACCCAACAACCTGTCCAGAAAGAGACCCTATGACCAGTACAGCAGCGACCGAGACCATCGGGGGCACAGAGATTATTACGACAGGTATGCAGAAGGCCCTGGGACTCCAGGAGCTGGCCTCTGCCAGGAGCTTTACTGTTTATGGGGGAGAGACAAGCGACATGTGTATGAATGTATTTTTCAGAGGCACTGAGCAAATAATGTATTTATAATGCATTTATCTCATCATGTGTGCAGATGTGGTCATGCCATCGCAGCATTCTCGCAGTGTTGGGAGAAGCATGCTGTGGGCAGCTGGCACTGTGCTGGTTGGATGGTCAGTGGTAGGGACTTTTTATTTATTTATAAATACATCTTTATTGATTTCAGAGAGAGAGGGAGAGGAAGAGATAGAGAAACATCAATGATGAGAGAGTCGTCACTGATTGGCTGCCTCCTGCACGCCCCCTACTGGGGATCTAGCCGGCAACCTGGGCATGTGCCCTGACCAGGAATTGAACTGCGATCTCCTGGATCCTAGGTCGATGCTCAACCACTGAGCCACACCCGCCAGGCGATAGTAGGGACTATTTAGTTTTCCTAAAGGCTGAGGAAGAGGTGAGGCTGCTGATTCTTGGTGTGGGCCCTGAGAGTCAGCTAAGCAGAGCAGTCCCACCCAGGAAAGGACATCCAGAAGGTTAACGGATTAGATAGTTGGGAGGCCTGGAATGCCAGGTTGTAGGTTTTAAGTTTTATTCCCTGGCTCATAAGGAGCTTATTGGTTCTCTAGTTTCCTCACATCTACACTCCGAACAGTGTTCACTGAGCTCTCAAGGGGGGACCCTCTGCAGAGCTCCGAACTGCTCTGTGCCGAGCTCGGCATCCATCCTGCAAACTCCAGCTGCCTTGGTTCTGCTTCCACCTCAGGCTGTCAGCTCAGGAAGTGTGCTGGCTTCTCCTGGTCTCCGCTTCCCTGTGCTGAGGAACTGCTGAAGGCAGTGAGCGGGGTGGCTACGGGCTCATCTCATTAGTTTCCCTTTCCTCAGGAATCACTCCTTTTTGTTGCCTTAATCTGACATGATGCCTTGAAACCCTGTATCATGTACATTTTGCCTCTTCTGGTTGTTTCAGGCAGGAGGGTAAAGCTATTCCCTGTTCCTCAACTTTGACTGGAACCCAAAGTCACAGTCCCTTTATCTTTCTCTCTTTATTGAGGTGAAGGTCACGTAGATAAATTAGCTCTTTTAATGTGAGCAGTTCAGTGACATTTAGTACATTCACAGTGTTGTGCGACCACCGCCTCTAGCATGGCCACAGCACCTTCATCCCCCAGAGAAACCCTGTCACCACTAAGCAGCCGCTCTCCATTCTGCCTCTCCCCAGCTCCTGGCAGTTGCCAGCATGCATTCTGTTTTTGTGGGTTTACCTATCCGGGATACTTTGCATAAATGGAGTCCTACAAAATGTGGCCTTTTGTCACTGCTGCCTTTGAGCATTTAGTGTAATGTGTTTAGAGGCGCATCCACATTGGAGCGCATGCTAGCCTTCCTTTCTTTTTATGGCTGAGTAATATTCCATTGCACGTAGGGTTTTTTTAATATAGCCATCCTAGTGGCTGTGAAGAGTGGTCTCATTTTGGTTTTGATTGGCATTTCTCTAATAATTCATGTTCATTAAGGACATTGAGCATCTCTTCATGTGCTTTGGAGAGTTGTTTACCGAAGTCTTCTACCCATTTTTGAATTGGATTGTGTGTATTTTTGTTGGCTTGTATCAATTCTCTTTTGCTAGGATAACAAACAATTTATCATGGTCCTAAGTAAATTTAATATTCTTTGAATTGGGCCAGTTTTTAAAAAATACTGGTTTTTAGAGAGAGGAAGGGAGAGGGAGAGAGAAACATTGATGTGAGAGTGAAACATTGACCGGCTGCCTCCCGCATGCCCCCAAATGGGGCCCTGACCGGGAATCAGACCGGCAACCTTTTGGTGCACGAGACTACACCTAACCAATGGAGCCATACAAGCCAGGGCCCAATTTTTAAAATAACTAATCCTTCACCTATTGTGAATATTTAGGTTGATTGTGGCTTTTGCTGTTGCTTATAAGTTACAGAATAATTTCTGTGGCTTTTTCTCCTGGGCTAGGTCAAGGAACCTGAAAATGTGTGTAGATCTCCAGCTTTCCTGCAGGGAGTGTGAGTGTCCAAAGCGATCAATGATTCAAGTGTTACTCGCTTCATGGCAGCTTTGATGAGGCTCATGTCACCTCAAAGGATGTGTTTTGCTAATAAGTATAAAGTTGTCCTTTGTGGCTACTTTTGTTTTCGTTGCGTTTTGATTCCTGGTAATGTTAGCACTTGCTGGGGGACCTCTGGAAGTGTCCTTGGATCTGAGAGCATGAGGAAGAGGAAGGGATTCCGGCCAACGTCTCCCAGCTAATCATTGCATCTCTGTTTCAGGCACCACCATGACTCCAAGCGGAGGAGATCTGATGAATTCAGGCCTCAGAATTACCACCAGCAGGATTTCCGACGAATGTCTGATCACCGGGCCCCTATGGGCTACCACGGCCAGGGACCCTCAGACCATTACCGCTCTTTCCACACAGACAAATTGGGGGAATACAAACAGCCCCTGCCCCCGCTGCACACCGCAGTCTCAGATCCTCGCTCGCCCCCTTCTCAGAAATCTCCCCATGATTCCAAGTCGCCCCTGGATCACAGGTCTCCCTTGGAGAGATCACTAGAACAGAAAAACAACCCAGATTATAACTGGAATGTTCGGAAAACATAAAGGACAGCTGGGGAAAAAAGGGAGAGCAAGTCATTAAGCACCTGGATGTTTTTGGTCTGATCCCACGGGAGCCAGTTACCTAGACCAGTGAGTGGAGTTTCTGGACACGCTGCTGCTGTCGCTCATTGGCTGAGGGGCGCCTCCAGGAGTGGGGACTTCTGTTCAGTCCAGCCTTGGTTTGGTCACCACTCCTGCCCTCCGGCACCCCATCCGTTCCCGCCTGGCTCTGGCTCCCACTCTGATGGGTGCTGGGAGGAAGAGGTGACTTTTTTGTACCAGTTCCCGCGCTGTGTTTCCCCAATGAGGGGAGAAGGGATCTCAGTCATGAATGTTTCATTGCCAGGGTCACTGTGCCCAGGACCTTAGTGCGGTGGTCAGAGGAGGAACGTATATGTGAAGGCTGTGGGACCTGCTGGACAGTGCGTGGTGTGGTTCATGATGGCGTGACAATGCTGCTGACGGGGAGTGGGGCGTGGGGACAAGCGGGTGGGGTCTTGCATCAGGACTTGAAGGGGGGAGCAGGTACACCCCTCAAATGTGTTCTTGGGAGATGTCATACCCTGGGTCTCATTATGTTATACCTATGTTGCGGGGGGTGGGGGGACAGAGAGGGGAACAGCTCACAATGGCCCCTTCCCTACAAACACTAATTTTTCCTATGCTGTTTGTACATTTCAAAGGTGTGGGCCTCCTCAGTGGGCCTCCTGCGCCTGCTGTGCTGGGGAGGGTTGGGTCTGCCCGGCTGCCCTGGGGTACTGTGAGTCAGGTGGGAGTCGGCGTGGCTCTGATGTGCTTGGGAGGGGGCAGGGTGGGGGGAGCGTGGCTGGAAACTGGAGTCCCTGGTAGATTTCTGATTCTTGGGTAAGAAGTAAAACTCCAGGGCCTGGAGAGGAGGGGGAAGCAGAGGCAGGCATCACATGGGGGTGCCGGTGCAGGTGGGGAGAAGGTTCCCCAGGTAGGTTTGGCAGTGCCAGCAGGTAGGGGGAGCTTTCAGTGTTGTACCAGGTCAGCATTTGCCGGTTGCATTTTAGTTCCCTTTGCACAGCATAAAGAAGCAGGAGACAGAGTGACATCTCCTAACACTCGGGGGGAGGGGGGGGGTAAACGGATGAAAAGTGAGTTCTCACCATGGTGAACAGGCTTCCACTGTTACCATTAGGAGTGAACTCAGTTTCTTGTAGAATGAGATCAGCTAAAATATAAACCCAAGTAATTTTTTTCGCACATTAGGAAGCATCTGAGGACAGGAAGGCTGAGCTCAGTGAGGGGAGTTGGGACTGGGAGGCTAGGTGGTCACGTCAGTTAAGCAGGCTCCTCTCATTTGACTGATCCTGGGCCCTCTGTTTCATTCATTTTAGATAGCTTGCCAGTGTTGTTAGCGTGTCCCGAGGCCTGTCTGGGCGGAGACAGAATAACTGACTTGAACACAGTGTTGTTTCGGGTGGATGTCCAGGCCCAGAGCTGGTGAAAACCCTTCCACTGGGCGCACACAGCATTCACCTCCCGAGACTGACCTGTGGGCACTTCATAAAATCATTGTCACCTACTTGCCTGGTACCCTGGGCAGCACCATTGATGCCTTTGCTAACAAACCCCCAAGCGGCATCCCCCTAGGGAAGCAGGTGTGGCTTTGGTGGCCGCCGCTCCCTGCTGCACAGAGCACCCCAGGGCTGGCCAGTGTGGAGCCCCAGGGAGAGTCTGGGTCATCACAGCACGTGCTGGGAGTCCAGTGAGCCCACCACCTCCTCATGTACCTCCCCTTGGTACTTAGGGTTCTTCACCCCAAGTGCGTACCATGCAAACCCAGAAGGCCCTGGTTACAGCCGCCCACGGGGACAGGCTGTGAGTGCTCAGTGGGAGAAGGTAGGTCAGGTCTCTGCTTTGGCCACCGCAAGTCCAGCTTCTTGCTGACAGTACTAACACTACCCCGTGTGGGTTGCCCAGAGCAGAGAGGAAGGTGGGGCTGGCTTGCCAGGTCCCGAGTGATGGCGATGGGTGGGGAGTGGATGAGCCCGGCGTCTTCCCCTGTGGAAGCTGGGTCAGGTCACGTCCTCTGGGAGGCTCAGTGTTTCCTTTTACTACAAAGAGGCCGATTGGAGGCACTGCATTTCAGTACTCGTCCAGGTATTTTGCTGTTGATCGGAGATGTGAGTTATTCCCAAAGATGTCGCATCATGAGGAAATCCTTTTGTTTGCATTCAGGACTGTGAGTGCCATATTTAGCAAAAGGCAGTATCAGCCAAATCAGTGTTAAATTGATTAGCAAGTTGCAGTATCCCCGTAAAAGCGCCTACTTCAGGTGTTGAAGTGTATTTGAAGCGTGCGTTGGGAGAGGGAGGTGCTTCCTCACTGACCTGTCAGTATGAATAAACGCTGTATGCTTAGATTAAAAACCAAATTTGCACAGGGAGAAATTCTCACTGGTGTATGGGAGGAGCTTCCCCAGGAGTGGCCTGTGAGGATGGGCTTGCAATGGAGCTTCGCTTTGAAAGATGCAGTAACTGGGTAGAAATAGCAGGATTGAGGAAGAGAGGAGTTGGCCTCACCTGAAACCCCCAGCATAAGCGAGGATTAACACGGCCTCCTGGCGCCCTGGAAAAGGGCATGCGAACCCCAAACTCGCCATGGCTGTCTTTCAGGACCGGCCAGCCTCCCTGCGGAGCCTCACCTGATGCCCCGGGCCCCCCTCCTATCATTCCCTCAGCCCTTCACGGGAAACCAGAACACTTCTCACATCGCTGCAGACGTGCTCGCCTGGTGTCTGAACGTGTGGTGCAAACAATTTAGTTACGAATCCACGTGGTGATGCTGAAATCCAGACCAAAATCACTCGGCAGCAGGAGTGCTGGCCCAGGGCCCGGCCCCGGGCTCCTCCGGCTGTCGGGGGGCTGCGCGTCGGGCAGGGAGAGCCAGGCCAAAGGTCCAGGCTGCGCTAGTCCATCTGTGCCCCTCTCGTTAGGGGACAGGTGGTTTTTTCTTTATTGTAAAATTGTGGACTTTTAAAACCTGTTGACTAAACAGTAATTAATTTATATTTGTGAAAATGCCACTGTCCTCGTGATTTCTGATGTAAATAATGTTGTTTATATAGTATGTATTAAATTTTCCTACATTGTAAAACTGCTGTGCTTTTGAATCTTGTATATTAGAAAGTGGTATAAAGGATTTTTAGAATGGGGAGGACACAGTGCCTTGCTTTGGCGTGAACTGTGACTGGATACACCTGGTCTCCCCTCCTTGGGCTCTGGGTCATCCAGATCGTTGGACAGCCTGTGAACTGGAGCCTTTTAAAGCTGTATTTTTTCCCTGCACAGCACCAGTTGTTGGGTCCACAGGTTTCTGCGGTTTTCCCTGAGTAGCTGTTGCTGAGGTTGACAGTCCCCAGAGCAGCTCTAGTCTGGAACCCATGTCCCCGCAATTGGATGAGATGACCTGGAGGAGCTGCAGGTGACCTGGAAGGGGCCCTGAAAACCTGTGCCCATCCACACCAGGGCCCCGCCGCCCCGTCCATCCCTAGGAAATAAAAACACTGTGTCTGCCAGCCTGCAGCCTTGAGGGTAATTTAACAGTTGGGTTATATATTCTCGAAGGGAGAGAAAGCATTTTATAATGGAAACACTGACACGAATGTTAACTCGAGCAATTTGGCACAGGGCAGGCCCGGCTCTGGTGAGGCCCAGACAGAAGGAGGGTGGCACAGGCAAGTGGGCGGAGGTCCCGTCTGAATAAGGGCTGGAGAAGTCCACCAGACCCCAGGGGTCGTTCTGATACCTCAGTGACTTTGAAACGGAGCTGGAATCTCTCTGCAGCTCTTCATTCTTGGCATGTCCTGGAGGCTCGGCACAGGGGCCTTGCTCAGTGTGACCTGTGCTTGGAGAGCCGGGGTTTACTGCACGTAGTTCTTAAGTTAAAGACTCGAAGAGTCGAGGGTCCTTCCTGCCGATAACCTCACAGCCATGTTGCAGTTCACAGCTCAGCTGGGACAACTTCGGGAAACTTTGAACAAGTGCCGCAATAATCAGCTTATGATTTACAATAGCAACGGAGCCGCTCAACTCACTGCTGCCAAAGCGCCTGCCTTTTACTGGAAGAAGCAGGCCCCAGCCCCTCCCTCCTCCCTGGCGGGGCCTCGCACGTCTGGCATGGAGGCAAGTGCTCAATTAGTGCCAACAGAAAGGTCACCTAATGAAACAAGGCCCTGCCGTGTGCCAGACCAGCCTGGGCTCCGATTCCAACCTGCGGCTCTTAAAGGAGCAGGGCCAGGCTGGTCCTAAGCAAAGCCCAGGGCCCACCCTCTTTATCCTGGTGGGCCCTGCCCCCTGAGGCTGGTGGATCCTACCCCAGGCTGGACGCCGGGATTTCCTGCATGGTTCTGTGGCCTTGTGACCTGGTCTTATGTGGGAACATGGACAAGTCCGGGACCTATGGGCTTCTCACCTTAAAGACAGAATATCAGCTTCTCAGGGCAGCTGCCTGTGAGGGTTCCCACGTGGTATCTTTATTTCTTTTGTGACCTAAGATGGAACTGTTGTTAAAGCTCAGTTAACAAAGGTCCGTTCTCACTGACCACAGGCACCAAGGTGGCCTTCAGGGGCCGGGATGGTCCGAAGGGGCTGGGCAGGAGAGCCAGTCGGTGGTCCCCATTGGGTCCTTCCCTGTATGTGGTTGGGCAGATGGCTTTGTCATCATTGGCAAACAAAGGAGGCAGCTTCTAGGGTTAATGTTTTTAAGTGAGAGCTCAGACATGAAAAGAAAGGGCTTCTAGACCCTAAGGGCCACCGGGAGAGTGAGAGTGCTCCTCAGTGCGGGGCTGAGAGGGGTGGGATCGAGGAGGGGAGCTTGGGAATGGGGGATTGAACTTGCTGGTCTGGAGGGCAGGCCCGTTTGGCATTGTGCCCAAGCAGCCTTCACCCCAGAGCTAGTGAGACCCTCAGAGGTACTCTAGGGCAGATTAAACCCCAGGAGGGAGGCCTATCCTGAACCTTCCAGGAGCTCAGGACAGGGGACGTACAGCTGGGACCAAACAGAAATGTTTTTCCCTTGACGGAGACCTTGAGCCTCTACTGTGGGCTGGGTCCTGTTCTAGGAGCTGGGGACACAGGCGGAACCCGGACGAGGCCCTCTGGGCCGAGGATTGCAGAGGCAGACCCAGGACAAGCAAACAAGGATGCGTCGGGTAAGAGAAGGGCCAGGGAAAGGAGGTGGAGGAGGTGGGTGCAGGGGCAGGGTGCTGGTGGCTGCAGGAGGACTGGGAGGGCCTGGCCTGGGAGGTGGGCAGACCTGGGAATGGACCAGCTGGCATTCTGTCCCTCTGGACAGGCTGTGGTGGGGTGCGTGAAGTCACCGAGGTGACACGTGGCGGGCTCAGCACCCATCACTGTCACAGGACGGTGTTGGGACACCCTGATGCTGGTTGGGGACCACCCCTGCCACCCAGGGCGGGGCCTGCGCTGTGCTTGGGGATTAGCAGCTCCCATTCCCTGAGGGCCAGAGTGGATGTGGTTCTAGAACTGTCCAGCAGAGGGCAGAAGATGCCCACAAATGGCCTGGCTGGCCACCCGCTCAGCCCTCATTCCTGCGCCCAGCGGGCCGCTCCCCTTGGCTGCAGAGTCTCTGCAGAAAGTGGCACAGGACAGGGGAGAGGAGAGGGGTAGAGGCCACAAGGACAGGCCAGGGTGCAGTGCTGACCAGCCATGTCCCAGCCTCCTTAGGGCCTCAGCCAGCCAGGAAACTGGGCTCTGTGCCCCCCGGGGCTGAAGGGCAGCCCCTCCTTCACGGTCTCCTGCAGCCCGCGATGCACAGGCTTCTGCTCCTTCTGGGTCCAGCCTCTCCGCCCTCCCGCTTGTGTGGCAGCGGGGGACCATCCTGAGCCACAAGGCCCTGACCTCACCGCTGCTCCCCACGAGCCTCGCCTTAACTCTGATTCCTGGCAAACTGCTCTTGCAACCTAGATACTTGAGCCAGATCTCTGCCCTCCTCCCCCTCCTGTCACCTCCGGCTGCCTGCTGAATCTTACTCAGTGTCACGATGCAGTTCAAGGCTGGTTTCCTCTGAGCAGCCACCTTGGACCCTGCTGTTCGGGTTCCCTTCCTGTCTGTCCCTTCCCTGTGCCCACAGAGGCCATCGGAGCCCCCGGGACACTCTGATGCCCCCACATTGCCCCAGCCATCTCCCCAGCAGGCCGGGGTACCCTCCTATTGTCATGTCTTGTAGCAGCCTTCCCGAGCACCCCTGCAGTGGGCCATCCACCTCCACCTCGGTCCCTTCTCAAGTTCTCTCACTCCCCAAACCCTGCCTGCTCCGCCTTCATATTAAACCCAAAGCCGACCATTTGTGTCATCTCCAGCATGGCCACTGGCACCCCACATCTGACCGTGTCGCAGTCTCAGGGTCACTCTCCTGACGGTCCTGCTCTTAGCTTGCTTTCTACAGCAGCTGGCCCGAATCCTTTAAAACCTGTCAGGCACACCCATTGCTCCCGTGTTCAAAGCCTGCAGGTGGCTGCTCATGGCAACTGCAATAAGATGCTAAGTTTACCCTGCTGGCGAGGCCTGCCTGGCGCTGGCCTCTCTGTGGACCTTGGTGTATCTGCTCACTGTTACCCAGTCCCATCGCTCTCTGCTGCCCCCAGGCCCTTGGAACGCACTCTTTTCTGTGTAGAATGCTCACCCCAGATCTTGGCATGTCTGGCTCCCCAAGTTCATGCAGTGAGTGAATCAGACATCCCCCCTGGGCCCACCAGAGGTGAAAGCTTGTCCCACTCTCCCCCAATCCAGGGTGCCTCTCTCTCTGAACCTCTGACTCCCTTCCTTTGTCACTATGGGACTTTCGATGATATAACCATGTTTATTGGCTTGTCTCCGCCAAGAGAATGCGAGGTCATCTGCTGCACTCCCCCAGCGCAAGTGATCACGAAAGAGGGGTCGACTGAAAAACCGCACACACACAATGCAGAGCGAGGGGACCGCCGTTTTCGGAGGCCTCTCTTTGCCGCACCAGGGCCCAGGTGCCAGGCAGTTTATGAGCATTAGCTCATTGGGTTTCTAGAATGACCTTGGGAGGTAGGTACTCATAATTCCATTTTACAAATACAGAATCTAGGGCTCAGAAAACCCAAGGCGGTCAGACCACACAGCTAGCGACGGGCCGAGCCAGTTTGGACGCCAAGTCTTCCTGCCACCCAAGACCACCCCCTGTTCACGCTGCTCCCTGGCATCGCTCTGATGAACCCCACTCCGGTCCCCATGTTCTAATCCTTTTCAGCCTAGGGGTTGCCCCCCTTCTTACGAACGCCCCTCATTTGTTTGTTTTCCATAGCCCTTTCTCTCCCGTGTCCTCCTCTTAAATTCTGGTTCGCCAACCAAGGTCTCCAAGATTCCTGCCACACACCAGGGAGAGGGGATGGAGGGGCCTGCTCCTGTCTGCAAATGCGTTTACCGCGGGCTCACTGGCCGCAAGTACCCTGGGCTGGCACCCGAGTCCTGCTCCCACCCAGCCCGCCGTGCAAGGCGCGGCAGCTCCTTGGGAACCATTTAGCTAAGGACTCTGTTCCACAGTCACACGACATGCAAATTTCCATGTTCACGAGGGCAGCTGGTAGCAAGGTACTTGGAAAGGATTCCAGCTTAAATGGAGGGTCCTGAACGAATTCCAAACCAAGGATATTTCTGGCAAGAAATGTAGCATTTTCATCTGAGGCCGAACAAGGGTTTTTAAAAAAAATCCTGTGCCCTGGCTTCTCGATCATCTGTTCTGTGCTGGCCAAGTGCCCATGGCTCTGCCACCTCGGTGGTGCCCCCCCTGGAAATTACTTCCTAATGTTACTACTGGGGGGAGAGGCCCATCGGTACTGACAGTTTGGGCAACTGGGTGAGATGCGTGGGTACATTCCTGCCTTGTTTCGTCCCTTCCAGGCTGGTTCCTTCCTCCTAAAGCCCAGACTGCCAGTTTCTCTCTGAAGTGGAAGAGGTGGGTTCTAGAAAGTTCCTCCCTACTTTTGGCCTTCCTCTTCAGGTTGGGGCCGGTGTGCATGCTCACCTGGATTCCTCCCGTCCTTCCACAGTGTGCCCGTGTGCCCATGAGACCCGTTCCAGCTCCATCAGAGCCAGGGGACCTGGACC